TGAACGCATAAATATTTTGGCCAGCAATAGCCGCCGGACCCAATTGGGCAAAGAGTTGACGATTTTTTTCCTCTCTTTTTTTTTGTTTTTTTTTTTGTTGTTTTTTGTTGGGACACTACAAGCAGAACGAAGTGGATTCTGTTATTTAAAAAGGCATTTTGTCGTCGCCGCTGCTACTGCAGCTGTTTCTGCATAGTGTTAAAAGTTCATGCATATTTATGGTGTCATTCATATTAAAAAACGTTCGAGTACGAGTATAAAACGCATTTAAACGGCCTCTGGAATTGCTACATATACATATGGAGTGGGCGGCGCACGGACATTGTAATGTTAAAAACTGGCCAAATGTGACTGGGATCGGTATAAACAATTTGCATTTAGAATTTTATCAATCGTTTCACTTACTTTGGCTTCAAAAACTATCAACAAATGGGGAAAGGGGCAAATTAAATAGAGCCAACCCCAAAGTCTATTGTTGGGCGAAGCTTTTCCTTTGGCCGTTTGGTTCCTTGCCGTACATTATAGGGCTTATTTCTGCCAAAGTTGCTTTTGGCCATTTGTAAAGTTTCCTACAAGTTGGGCGGGCGGATGGTCCCTGCTGCTTTTTCCCCCTATCACCCGCCCACCGAAAGGGCAATCCTCATTCGCATCCACCATTAGCAGCTACTTTTCAATGCGGTTAGCCGGCAAACAAAGCGTTGCACATTTTGCCCAGATAAAGTTCGGGCTCAATACCGTGGGGGAATAGGGTCTGGAAATAGTTAAAAATATGTAAAAGTATTTCACTTTTTTATGTTTTATTTTATATGCGAAAAAGTTCAGACGAAATGCACAACAAAAGTTGCACCCAGCAAAACTCCCCTTCCCTCTTCCTGCCATTGAAAACACACACACACGTCAAAAGTTAATTGCATGTGTGTGTGTGGGCGGGAGAGTTAAACTAACTTTTTAGGTAAGTTTAAAAAGGAGTTGGTTGCATGGAGTGCAAGCAGAGAGGAGAGGCAGGGCAGGGCAAGGGCTTCTCGGGGCAATAATTAAACACACATTTCATGCTGCTAATGAAACATTAGTTGTTTGCATTTAATTTGCTATTTAGAAGCCCCAACGCGCACACATCACCCACATCATCACCCATAGCCCCATTAGGCGGGGAAACTAAAAGACGAAAAGAGAACTTCATTCGGAGTCTGGGACTTAGAGTAGGATCTGGATAGTCATTGAACTAGTCAAAGTCCTATTATTAATAAGCATTTTTCTGGCAATCAACTGCTGGCAGGCAGCCCTTTGCCTTTGATTTGTTGATTTTTGCCAAGGAGGAAAATAGAGAGAGATTTATGAACAAACATTCAGAGCAAAGTTGCATGTATTTAGGCCAGACAAAAGCAGCTTATATATGCAAAAATTTTCTAGCTTACACACAAATGGGAGGGATGTTTCCTTTCCTATACCTTTCGTTGCACTCCCTTCACATCAGTGGTGTGGCTGTGGCTCTCGAAGCTTAGTTGTAATTTATTGGCTTGATAAAAACCAATGAAGAAATAACAAGAAATTCTACAATAAAACAAGGCAGCCAGCAAATATGCATTGTGCAAATTTGACTATGCCAAAATCGTTCCAAAATTGAAATCCTTATCATGCTGCACATATACTCGTATAAATTGTATGTGTGCGCGTGTGTGTGTGGCATGTTGCAAGCCTCCTCTCCATTCAGTTGACATACATTTGTGAACTGTGAAATTTTTCATTTACTTTGATTTGCTGCCAAACGAGTCTCAATATCTTGCTCGCAATCAACTAAACGTATAACAGACCTCAACTCTGCGGCTTGTAATTTATAAACTTTCGTATGTGAATGCACTATTTCACAAGCCAAATGCCACATGCCAGGCAGCATTAGTTACCTTTCCATGGTGCCGTTGCCGTTGCCGGTGCCTGCGCTTTCTTGCAACATTTTTCGCCGAATTGTATCCAGCGATGCGTAAATTTCACTTATGGGAATGTGGCAGCATACTCGTACTCGTGTGTGGCAGGCAGGGGGAGCTCGAGCAAGCTACCAAAAATATTAAAAATGGCAAATCAAAGTGCTGCCTGCCTACTACACACTCATAGTATTTTTTTTGTGGGCAAATGTTTGCGGTTCGTAGTGATCCTTTTTCAGGATTACTTTCATGTGGCTGCAGTCTACCTCAAATAAAAGAGAAAGCTTTTGACCCACAATATTTCAGCATTTCCATATTACAAAATTAAAATGCTGTTCTGTTCTCTTCTGCTCTGTTGTTTTTTAGTTCATTCCCCTAAATGGCATTGGCATGTGGAAATGTGCCAGGCAAAAATAATCCATTCTAATTGAAACTGTCAAAGTCGACGGCTGGATTAGCCAATTAAATAATTCAGTGCTTTGGCCAGCAGCAAAATCAATTAAAATTACCTATTACATGGTGGAAAATTTTGGACAGCTGTCCCGCGGAAATGATTTCCCATTTGATGGTTGCATTTCCTATATTTACTCGTATTTGTGGCTGTGATAAATACATTTCTATTGATTTTGTGTGACCCCAAAAACCAGGTGATATGAAAGGCCATTATAGAGTACTTAACTGAATCAATTAGAGAGCACTTTAGAGAGCCCCTCCAAGGAGAGCTCTTGCTCGCAGTTGTCTTCCCCCCATGAAAGTGCAGTAAACAGTAAACATGCTTGGCTCAGTCAGCATTTCCCACATGCAGCTCATCAATTTTCCAGCGCGTCTTCGAATAATGAAATTATGAATTTGTTTGTGTTTTTCCAGCGTGTACTCGCACTCGTATTATGACAGCTATATAGTAACTTTCTTGGGCCCCTCCCGTCTCTGGCAAAACTTATCAAAAACTTTCACGTTCATCATTTGCAAATATTATGAGTTTTCATGCAAGACACACCACACTTACTCACAATAGCAGAATTCTTAGCATATGTGGGGGGAGGACATTATATTTTTGATTGCGAGTGCGTGGCATATATGACTCTGCTATCCTCTGCCGACGGAGGAGGATCCCCCGCTGACAGACAGTTGGCACCGAAAAATCCGTTGTCATTTTTGGCCATTACCAAAAGCAGCCACGCTTATCTCTGCAAGAATGCAAGGACTACACAGATACTCGCGTGTACATCTGTGTGTGTGTGCGCGTATCTATGCAGATACTTTTATCGTGCGGGTAAGTCGGGGATCTGCTTCCACTCCGACAATTCCTCAGTAGAAACTTTCCATCACATACACACACACATATACACATACATACATATACGCACAAGGATTGACAAAATAAATAAATATGAAAATTTACGGCAAAAGTTTCGGTTTCGGTTTATTTTTTTTTAGCCCTCCCCTTTCACTTAAAATGGGTCTTGGGTCTTTGGCGGCGGATCCCTGCATGGGTTTTGCGGGTTGTGGCTTTTAACTTTTGCCTTCTGAATTTATTGAAAAATCGATTGTGGTATTAAATCGGAGGACCACGCAATACGGCCAAGGACTACGGACCATGGACTGTAGACTGTGGACTATGGACTCCTGCCTACTGTCGCACAAATCCTTTCGGCTTTTCAGCAAATCATCGGAGCTTGCAGCTTCAAAAGTGGCGCGTGACTCCGTCGAACGGGGATGCAGAATGCCGCCTCGTAAATTTATGCAAAGCGCTGCCAGTTACTTAAAGAAAAACCCAAAGCTGCAGCAAGTTTTCTTTGCGTTCTCCACTTTTTGGCCGTGATGAAAGTTGTCTTGGGGCTTGGCAAGTTATCACGGGTGGGTGTGGGGTTGGTGTATGCAAAAAAAAATGGTTTTGATGATGGGTTACAAAAAGATTTGCATAATCCAAAGCTGAGAAACAAGTCGGAGGTAAAATTCAAAGGTGAACGACCCACAGTAATCCCCTCTTAAGTGCTCCCAGGTGAACTTCAATTATATTACATTTGTTCTGTCCACATTCGTTGCATTACAAATTAACAAAGCCCCAAAGTACTTTGCCAAAAACAAATACAACCAAAACCAACCAAAAATGTTAACAACAAATGTGCAAATTAGGCCGCAATCTCACAAATACTCAAACACACACACCTACACACATTCACACACTCAAACACACACAAAAAGGAGGGGCAAAACCGCAGACAAAAAGAATACAGCGACAAAAAAGAAAACCGCCTGCTAAACGCCTACAGCCACAATCGCGATAAAAATCGCAAAAACCGAGCTGAACGCAAATGAAATCAAATCAAATAAGGCTAATGCTCACAAAGCCGATTTGGCCGCAAATTTAGAAAAATTAAAATAATGTGCAAGACAGTTGCCCGAAATCAAATTCCATTTCCATTTTCGTTTCCATTTCATTCGATTGGCAATATCTAATTAAATCAGGAAAACCGCAAACAGAAACGCAAACACACAAATAGCCGTGCACTCGTTCGGAGTGAGGATATAACAATTAAAATAATTATATTAGCATTAGCTTACATTAATTTGAGTTCAATTTAAAACTGAAACAAATGAAACTATCTACGCACATTCGAGTATATGAATGGTATTTCCCTGCCGCCCTAAGGCCTAAGCTGCGCTGCGGCTGTGGCTGCGACTTGCGGCTGCTTTTGGCCCTGTGTTTCCGCAGATGTGTTTGCTTTAACTTCGATGTTCGTACATAATTTAACGGGTACATCGGTTGGGACACGACCGCAGCACACACACCCCGCATAGCTACGTATGGGCGGTACGCAAAGTTTCTGCACTGTAAAGCCTCTTAGGTTTGAGCCACGTTTGCCCTGGCCCAGGGTTTTGTTGAAACTTTAAGTCAACTAAGCGGCTTACCTCCACATCGACACAGACAGATGCACGAGCACACGCCTAGAGATACACGCACACTCTGGTAATAGACACACCCACACCCATCCCCGTCCACAGTCATCGACATCACTCATACGAGACGTATAACACCCCGCTGGAATGGAAATGAAAACTCAATTTTGATTTCGCTTAAAACATACGGCTTTATTATAAGTATTTTTTTGGAATAATTTTCACTTAACCTATGTACAGTGTTAGTATTAGTTATTAGTTAATTTATGCACGCACGCCCTTGTATACATTTATCAAAAATACAATAATAGTAATTATATTTATATTATATATATATGTATGTGTGTATGTATGTATGTAATTATTCTGTACAGTTTTTGAACGCCGCCTGGCATCATTCCCCTTTCATCGTATTCGCACTAGACCCGAGAGTTGATTGCCAGCGTCGTTTAGTTATGCGTTATCGTATAATGCCTTAATTATTTACAAGAATTCCGCTATATGCTGCTGGTATCCAGGACATCGGACATTGGACATCGGACATCGCTTACATGCTATACTGATAGCGCACATTAGATGCCAGCTGCCAGGTAGAGAGATTTACGGATATATGTATATTCAGTGGAATTATTCATGCTAAATTAGCCTTTGGCCTCACCTCAACGCCCACCAATCGCTCGTCGTACTCGCTGCTGGCCTGCATCGCCAGCTTTGCCTGCGAGTGCATAATCGCATCAGAGAGCGAGTCACGCTGATATGTAGAGGAGCCCATCATGCCAGGCACCCCGCCGGCGGCGCCATTGGACGGGGCCTTCAGGCGCGAGGACTTGCTGCGGCAGAAGAACTCCACGATGGCCACCACCACTGCCAGGAGCAGGCCACCGATTAGGATGTAGTAAATTCCTGCCACATTGCTCAGCGACAGTTCGTTGGGGGTGGAGGTCTCCTGGCTGTCCAAATTGGGGTTGCACTCGGTCTTGTCGTACCACCACTTGTTGCGTATCCTCAGTAGCTCTCCGTTCTCCTTCAGTGTGAGCACGGCCTCATTCAGGCGTTTTCTGGTGAGGGAAAACTTATTCATATTGCATCGATTCACACTTGAAAATGCACCCAAACTAACCTTATGGGCGATCCTATGGGTGTGGCCACGCCAAATCCCTTGGCATCGATGTTGCGGCCCACTTTCATGGTATCGCACGGGGACCTGGCATTCACGTACTCGTTCTTCGGGGACTCCACCAGCAGGGCGTACTTCCCCTTGGAGGTACGAACCCTGCGTATGCCCTCGTCATAGGCATGGACCGATAGGTGGGGATTGGAGTTCATGTAGTCCCACATCTTCTTGTGCAGCTCGATTTGCGATCGCTGAAAGACATCTCTATTCTAGGAGGAAAGCGAATGGGAAAAATCTGAGCAGAACTCACCTGAAAGAAGTCCCAAGTGGAGCCGTGGAGTAGCGTTCCGTACTGCACATCCGTTTGCATGGCCAGATCCTCGGGCGACTTGATGGGGGACACCATGCGCTCCACTGTGAGGAAGGCGGCCAGGTTTGCGGTATACGACGATATCAGAATGATGGTGAAGAACCACCAGACGGCGGCGGCAATGCGTCCGGCAATGGAGGGAGGCGTCAGATCGCATCCCTGCTGCATGAAGGCGGCCAGGGAATACCAGAACGAGTTGAGCAGACTGAAGTCGTTGGCCGGCACTGGCGGCTGTTGCTGTGATGGCTCACTGTGCGTGGCCCCACCAATGATACCGGGTGGCTGCTGGGCCGTGGCCTCCGGCTGGGGTCGCCTCACAATCCGCCATTCGTAGGGCGGGAAACGTGTGACAAAGTAAAGCACAATACTGACACCCAAATAGCTAAAGATCACACTCATCTGGAAGGTAATCTCATCGTAGGGAATACTCTTAGAAAGATTTTTCTATGTTCATTACTTACCCAAATCTCCTGCGAGAGGGGGTTGAGGAAACTGAATACGCCTGGCGTCTGCTTGACGGGCTTTTTGATCATTATGGATATGCCCAGGGTCATGAAGGGTTTGCTAAAGTCAATCACTCGCTCGCGTTCCGCTGTGATGGTCATGGCTGCTATGGCCACGTCAGCCTCCTTGCGCACTAGCTCACCCACCATGCCATCCCAGCCGCCAGGAGCATACTGATTCTCGGAGCCATAGTTGCCATCCTGCACCAAACGGAGTTCATCTGAGGCACAAAGCATCCAATCATGGATTGTTTCAAGGAAAGGAAAAGGCAAAGCATAACTCACATCGTATTCCCAATTGATTTGCCAACATATCAGCCAGATCCTTGCAATAGCCCTCGAATCGATCGTTGCCCACCAACTCCTCGCCGTAATGCGTCTGCTTGTGCATCAGATAGGGCTCCTCCAGCACACTTGTCACGATGTACGTATGATTCTTGGCATAGTCCCCGGAGTTGGCGGAGGCAGAGCGCGATGAAGTCGCATAGCTGCGACTGTGGAGGGGCAGGAGACCCACATCGTCGCGCCATTCGGCCATCTGCTGCAGAGTGCTGTTCACGGACATCTCCACCACATGCAGCGTGTAGTTGATGCGACGACCGTCCTCGTCGAAGCGAATCTCACCGGACAAGCCATCGATTTCCACCTGGTTCCGGGATAGAATGGAGTGGAATTTTGCATGCATTTCTCGCAGAAACTGTCCGTCTGTCCGTGTTGTGTCTGTCTGTCGTCTGTCACTCACCTTGCGCAGGACTCGAGAGATTTTTTCGCCCTGCTCCCAAGGCGTTACCCAGCCCTTGCTGGTGTTGCAGTCCAGCAGGGCACTCGACTCGTTCGTGCCAGAGGAGGAGCTCGAGCCACCGCCATGGCTGCGACGCTGCAGATGATTGGAACGGAACTGATCCGGCTTCTTGCGCAAAATGCGATTGAAGGCCTCGACGAGCACAAAAACCGCATCATACATCAATGCCGCCTGGGCCTGTGGACCAAATCAGATGGGAGATGGAACGAAGGAAGGAGGAAAGGAGGGAGCGTCATGAGGAGAGCACAAATCAATGCTCCGTTGGAAATTTACCGAAATGGCTGGCAAGCTGTTGCCCCCCGCTGCGCCCAGGCCAGAGCCAGATGGCTCCAAGCGCTTCCGGCTGTCATGGAAATCCCGCACCGCCCGCCGATTAGTGTCGACAATGCGAAAGCCGGTGATGTTGATGGCCCCGAACTCTGCCACATCGCTGGGCCAATGATTGTCCATGACCTACGCCCACGAAAAACCACGATGGGAGACAAGATGGCGGCGGTAGGGAGGAACCAAAAAAAATGTAACACAACGCAATGAAAGATCCCTCGAACGGAAGCTAGCAATAATTGCTTATTAAAGTCCCCACCCCACGGGGGAGTGGAGAATGGACTCACCAGACCACTGAGCAGGTAATGATAGGTGCGCCTGCCCAGCTTTATGTCCCGCACATGCTGCACGATGATCTCTTTGGCCATTTCCGCCGGGCAGTCGAGCACAATGCGCTTTTTGCTGAAGCGACCCAAATCCTCCAGCGTGTGCAAAAACTCAATGGCCATCGTTACGTTGGCGATGCGTTTCACCATTTGCACACGGAATGTTTCATTTCCGGGCTTCAGTTCTTGATAGATTTGCTGCAGCCGTAGTAAGCCTGTAGGTTTCCAAAGCGATTTTGTTGGTGAGGCGAATGGTTGAATGGTTAAAAGCGAAGCCAGAGCTTGGATTGATGTGGTGTTTGGCAGTGCGAATGGTGGATGGGGCATTAAAGTATCTTGAGGCATGAAAAATAATCTGATAATGCTACAAACTAAAAAACGGCTTGGGGTTTTATGATAATAGCAGCCATCCATAAACAATTTCCAGCATCCAAGTGTATATACGCACAGATCTATCACTTTTATAGGGTAAGTCGAGCTTCCCCCCGCCATCTTGGGACCTGTCATTTAATCATAATCCTCATTCCCCAAAACTCCATTCAATCTTTCAATCTCGCTTCCCTACGAAATCCCTTACAAGCCGCAAGAAGAACCCCAGCCAGGGGTAGTTGGCGGGGCACAAAAAATACATTTTCACACGCCATTTGTTGCACGTCCAATATGCCCCGTCTATGTGGTTGTTGTTGCTGCAATTGATTTGCTGCCTGCATTGATTCCATGCCCCAAAAAAATAACAAAATAAAAAGAGAGGAAGCACAGCAGACGGAATGTGGGAGAGCAGTAAACAGTCGCGTGAAAAAGCGGAAACGGAAGTGCACAGACAATTGAAGTACTTTTTTGTGGTGTGCTGGTAACATTTCAATAAATAGCAAGCCAAAAAATTCCACTGTGCGTTGCCGTTGCTGGTGCTGTTTCTGTTTTATTGAATGTTTCCTATGCTGTCGATGGATTCGGTGGATTGCTTTTTCCCTGCCACTTTTGTATTCATGGATGCGCCAAAAAATATGCTACCAATTTGTCGCCGTGTGCAGCAGCCCCATTCGGAGTGATAACAAGCAGAAAAAGATGGCCAAACAAGCAACAAAAGGGGGAGGGAATTTTCGACAAAAGGGGATGGCAGGGCAGAGCACAAAGCAATAACAACAAACTGCTGACAGCGGCATTAAAATATAAAGTCCCGCTGTGGTGCCTTTCGTTAACAATGTAAACGGCAGAATCGGAGTCGGTGTCGGCCAAAAATTTCCACACAACAGCAGCAACAAGAGGCGGAAGGTGGCGGGAGGGAAATAACAAGAGTAGCAGCAACAGCAGCCAGAGCAAATGGGGCACAAGATGGTGAGGCTGCCTGCCACTCCTGCCACTGCTGCTACTGCGGCATTTCCTTTTCCTGCAACGAATGCCAGCGGCAACAATGTCGGCCTACTTTTCGGCGCCGTGGCAAATATTAAAAAATGGCCCAAAAAGGGAAAATAATAATAATGTTAAGGCAGCAGCAGCAGAAGCAGCAGCAGCAGGATCTGGAGGACCGAACAGAACTCAGAGCTGAAGGCAGCAGTTGCATAAAGTCATAAATTTTATTTCACACAGAGTCATTAACACATGACACACACACACACACTCACACAAAGATACAACCACTCGGGCACATACAGACACACACACATGAGCAGTCATTACAACGGCGTGTGAACTCATTACAAAGGAGACAGCAAGCGAGAGAGAGAAAGAGAGAGAGAGGCAGAGAAGGCAAAAAAAATCACTGCGGCGTATACGTAATATTATATGAAATTTTTACAGAGCCAGAAATACCCCTCCAGACCCATTCCCTACCACCCCGCCACCATTGTGTATGTGGCTGTGTGTGTGTGAGTGTGTCTTTTCCGCCATCTGATGTCTTCATCTTTGGCCGTAATTGTTGCCGTCGTCGTATTGTCCCACGTAGACGGCAGGAAATTGCTTTGAAATAAATTTCAATACAACAAAAAGCAGCCTAAGACACGCAGACACACACATGACGAGAGAGTATGCTATATATATATATATATACGTGTACACACAGACTGAGAGGTAAACTTAACCATATGTGTGTGCCCCAGTGTATGTGTATGTGTCTGTCCTTCTCTTTTCAGCTTAAGCCCCGCTGAGGAGCCACTCGAAAGAGCACACTTGAAGGCACTTGAGAGCAGGCTGTCTGGCAAGCTCTTCCTCTGTTTTTCTGTGTGTGTTTCTCTGCTTTTTTTTTAGATGCGAGGCACGGCGCTCTTTGTGCCGCTTATTTAATTACATATTAGCAAAAATGAAAAGGCTAGAGACAGAAAAGTGGAGCAGAAAGCGCGGAGATATGCTCTATAGGAATGGAGAATGGAGAGTTAATCCCAAGCAGCAACATTGGCATAACCCTTTTGCCTGATTGACGCTTTATTTGTTTAAAGGGAAATGAAAGTCAAATGAAATGAAATCCAAACACAAAGAAAAACACACACAGGGATAATGTGTGGGAACAGGGTGGGTGGGAACACTCCCCGTGTTCCCTTTTATGAATATGGTGAGGGGCTGGATATGAATACCCGTACTTACCGTCGTGCGAGTCGTAGAGATAAATAATGCTCTGCCAGCCGTAGTACTGGATGGTATCGATAATCGCCTGATGGTAATCCGGACGCATGCTGATAGCGAAATCCAGCAGACCCGACGATGGTGTAAGCACCTAAAAAAAAGTATGCAAAACCAGAGAGAAAGGCCATGAACTGGATGTAACAATGTAATGTGTACGCTACATGAAGCAATAATAAAATGAAACGCGTTTCCGCTTTGCGCCCTCTCTCACTCCCAGCGACATGTAAGTCTATCCATCGGCAGAGGCGGAGCGGCAGGAGGAACTGAGGAAGAGGTGGCTCCACCAACAAGCAGATACATCCAAAGAGATACACACAGATATTCGCTTCCGTTTAGCTCCACTCGCACACACACACACACTACAGAGAATAGCCTGCCCCGAGGAGCACGCAAATGCGCAGTCTATACGAATATAAGTGCTGGTGTGTATGTGTGTGTGTGTGTGTGCGTTCTGTTGCCTTTGCTTGCTGGCAACTCAACTCCGAGCCGCTGCTACTGCTGCTGCTGCCTTTGCCCCCGCCGCCATATCTTGATTTATAGTGATTGAAATAAAAGAGGCCAAGAGCGTGTCATAAATTTTTTTTTGTGCTTCCACTGTATGGGAAAGCGAGTGTAGGAGTCCTCGTCGGTCGTTTGGCATTGTCTTCCGCCTTGTAGAGCGGATTGGAGCATAGTGCGGAGTGGAGCGTTTGGTTTGGCTTTTTGTTTCGCAAGTGACAACAACACCAGCAACAGCTACTCGTACATCCACATCCACATCCATAGACTGTGGCACCGCCAACAGCCGCAGTACGAGTAAAATTACCACCACCAACAACAACCAACAACAACAACCACTCTCTGTCACTGTGTCTCCATAGCTGTTGTTGGTAGTAAATTTTCTTCAAATTACAATTATTATGATTTGTGCTTGAGCTTTGATTTAGTGCACTGTCTGAGGACAACAGCAGAGAGCACGGAGAGTACTGGGAGGAGCAGCTGTGTGAACTGTGAACCCCTAACGATACCCAATGCTCCACTTTGGGCAATGACTTCATTTTTATAAAAGCTGACAAAATGCTTGAACCTCCGTGTGGATGGAGAAGTAGCTTGTGGAGGTTGCAATGCCAGGCAATTAGGATTGGTAATTGGAAATACCGAAATGGTAAACTAAATGGAAAATTCCGGAAAGCTAAAGGTGGCTTTGGTAAAAGTCCCAACAGAACTAATCAGTAAATACTTTGTGCTGATTTATTGTGATCTGATTTCCCATACATACATATGTATTTATGTAAAGATATGTTTGCTTGCCGCAAAAACTCTTACGCAACTAGTACTCGTATATTGGCAGATCTATGTACAGATATGGTCTATTAGGACACTCGTTGATGAGTGCATTTTATGCTAACTGAAACTTATAGTTCCCTCAGCATTTAATCAATGGAAGCAGCTAAAAAACTAAATTCAGCAAATTCTACATGCACCTGCAATTAATTATTAAAGTTCTCTTATACTTTTATGTGAGAAATAAACTACTTTAGACACAGCAAAACAGAATTAAATTATTTTAGCCACTCCTTCTCCTCTTCTAAAACTTTTCCTTTTGTTTCACCAACCTTGTGGGGAACTTCATTAACGGTTAACTGAGTTTATCAAACCCCCATCAAAATCCCCACTTCCACCCTTTCACTCGTAGTAAAACCACAAAATGTAAATAATTGCGCACAGCGACACAGAAATCAATTACATATGACAGTTTTTTCTGTTTTGTTCTGGTCTGTTCATAGGGTGTTTCAGGACTTACCTTCTCGGGGAACCAGGGCGTCACAAATGGCATTTGGAACGTATTCGAGTAGGAGTGCAATGTGTCAAAGGAGTCCGGCGATACGGCGCCCAGCATTGAGTAGACTCCGCGCGAGAATTGATTGCAAACTGGAGGTTACAGTAATAAATTCTTTTTGTGTTTCTTTCGTTTTGTTTCAATTTGGTGCGAGTATTGGAATGGCAACGCGCGACATGGCAACAGTTTCGGTTGCAGCATGAAAGAATGGTGGAAAATTGATGGTAGTGCAGTGTGAGAGAATGGAAGGATGTGCAGGAATGATATGCTGGGTGGGAGAACAGATGGAGAGTAGTTCTGGGACAGTGTCTAGGTCGGGAGCAGGAACAGGAGCAGGAGCAGGAGCACAGTGCGCACAATTAAATTGCAGCTTCGAGTGCTGAGTGCGGAGTGGAAATGTAAAGTAAAACCAATTTTCAATAAAAAATGCACATAATTAATGGGTTCTATGTATTGTGTAATGGATTTTTTTTGTATTTTTTTGCATCTGTATCTGCAGATGGTGTGCGGATGGAACACATACTCAGTCGGGATAATTTGAATGCATCCGCCGTATTGATGACATCTACGTACGCCTGCAGCTCGAAGCGCCGGGAGCTAATGTTCAGATTGTGATTGAGCATTGCATATTTAAAGGCTGATTGCACATCATCTGTACCCTGCTCAAAGATGGCACCTGTAGGGAGAGAGAGAGAGATACAGAATGAGAATGAGCTTGGGGAAAAATATTTTTTGCTTCGTTAAATATTTAGCCAGCTTTTGACACGGTCCTGTTAATATTAAACGAAAGCGCACAGAGAAAATATTTACACAAATGATAGCATTATGTTGCGCCCATACACATATGCACCACCAAGCACCACATACATATGTGAATGGAGGACACACAGATACAAAGGCAGAGCTAGAGGCAGAGGCAGAGCCAGAGCAGGAGCGAGAGCCAGAGACAAGTAGCAGCAACAAAAAGCGCAAACGAAGTGTTGATGCAGCAATTTTGTGCTGCGCTTTTGCAGGGTGCCCCCGTGCCAACGTGACAGTGTGCAGGTGTGAAGCACTGTAGCCAGGAGCAGGACTTGGAACCGGAGCAGGAGCAAGAGAAGCAGCCAGGAAGCAGGATTTGAGTGCAAGCCAGTCAGCATGACTGTCACATTAGCAGCCACCATACGTACAGCTACGAATACTTATACATACATACACATACACATCCACATACAGAACCAAAATGACTGCAGGTGCAATGACTGAAGCGCCATCGTGTAATAAAATAAAAAGGAAGCAGTAGAAAATAAAATAAGCCAGAAGTGTTCTGGAAAATAATTTCAACCTGAAATAACATCAGTGGGGTTGGGAAGTTGGGAAATTCATAGAAAAATTGCACAAAAATATACGAAATTCTAGAAATGCTACAAATTAGTATAACGTAAAGTAGTCTCTGCAGCACAGTTCACAGAAAACTCTCGTAATTGTACCAAACACTCGTATTCGTTATGCTACCCATGCCCATTGAGGAAGATGAGGTTAGGGATAATCTGCATGCATCAGTTGTGGACAATTTCCCCAACGAGCTACGAAAAGTATTTCAGGAACCCATTCCGGGAATCACCAATGACAGACACACACACACACACACAATCAGACACTCCAGCAACAACAACTGGCGATACATTGTAGCAAATTCCTAGCACCAAGTGCACCAATAGCTGTGACAATTTCTGTCCCGCTTCGGGCCATGCTCCGCAAAAAGTGCCATGGTCTGTTGGATGCTGTCTGCCTCCTGAACGAGTATCCCGACTCCTGGTAACGCTTTTGAGACTCACCTAATGGTATTTTCTCGGTTAACGATGCCGTTTGTTGCTGCTGCTGCTGTTGGGCGGCACTGAATTGCAGCCAGCAAATGCTGCCGGCGCATATTAAATATAAATATGCCAAGAATTTTAGCCTCGAATGCATTTTGCGTTTGTATTTTGTTGTTGCTGTAACAATTTTGCGAGTTTTTTCCACTTCTACTTTCAAGTATTTTTTATGCCCATACAATGGATGGAGTGTATTTTTTATTTGTTACCAAAATTGGTTGCCCATTACGCGGTGCTTCACGTTGTTATATTTTGCGAGGATTTTTGCCTAGAAAAAGTTTCAACTGGCAGACAAGAGAAAACTTTGGTCTCAATAGAATGTTTCACTTGAGTTTTAGTCACTACTGGAATTTTCGGATTTGATTTAATTTACTAATAATATTTATGATATTTTGATTATTTTTTGATAGTTTTTGTCAACGTTTAAACACTTTTTAATGGGAGTATTTCGGACTGTTTCCGAGTCCTCTTTGTGCCACAAACTAATCTCACTTTAAGAGCCAAGTGTGGTGATTCGCTGGACTTTAACTTCGGGCCGCCTGCCCGCCTCTGCTTTGAGATGTGCCCCAATCGAAGGAATGTCTCGCCTGTGCTCATCCGCTCACTTCAACCAAACGGCAACGCGTTGTAATCAGCACTAAAAACACCTAAGCTGCCTAGTAATACGAGGTCCAGAGCCGAGGCAGCGAGAGCCCTGGGCCACACGGCCACAATGTCGCTTTGTCGCTTCGGAGAGCACTCCAAGGGATGCTGCGCTCTTTGTACTAAAATCTCGAACCCTCTCTCGTGTCTGTCTGCAAAGCCCAATGAGAGAGACTGAGGGAGAGTCGGAAGATTCTGAAGAGAGAGAGAGAGCGTGGATGCTGTAACTGACCTACTGCATTTTGGACGCACAAGTTGCAAGTTGTCGTAGTCGCAGTCGCTGTTGCAAGTTGTTGCTTTTGTTGCATCTTCTCCTGGTGGTTAAATGTTTGTTTACGTTATGCTGGCGCTTTTTCGGGGGGGGCTGCATAATTGATAACAGCACGAGGATGAAGAAGCAGATGATCTGGGGCATGCCATAGCGGCATCTGCTTGTCTTTCGGGTTGACTCTCGTCGCATAATGAGAGATTTAACATTTTGTGAGGTTTTTCCTCAACATCTTCTCGCTGTTCGTTGTTTTGTTTTCTCTTTTTTTTTTTTGGTAATTACGAATGATTTGGACGAACAATCCTTTTAACAAATCTCATTACGTTGTCAATTACGCGCCATTACCAACATTACCCGGCCCGCAGTGGAGTCGTTCCATTCTGTTTAGTCTTGGTGTCCCGATCCGCCTCGCTTTCCGCCTCGCGGAATGAAATCTCATTAACAGGCTTTAATTTTCCAAACAAACTTAAGTGCGCCGAGTATGAAGGAACTCATCGGAGCAGGAGCAGGAGCAACAGCAGCTCTAACTTTGCACTACTTTGGTGTCCCCCCGCCACAGCATATTGCAGGGGTCTCATGGCGAACGATTTCGTCATAATCTGTAATTAGTTTATAATGCGCACAGGAAATGCTAGCAGGAATGAAATATAAAAATGAAGAGAAGAGAAACAGCAATAGCAGGAAACACGGACAATGGCCACAACTCCCGACTTAACCCTCAGTTAGAGGAGTAATCCAAAGAGCCAGAAGCCGATAAGAGGGGCAGAGCCAATGAACATAAAAGTTAATGCTGAAATTTTTTAATTAAGAAAATCAATGAATATTTCTTTCATCCGCCGCCCCTGACTTTCCGCACTTTATCCAGTGTGCATTATGGGTATTTTGCTATGTTTTTCTGTTTAGCTGCTGCTGCTGCTGCTCTCATTTCCTGCTCTTCAGGATGGCATAATTTTAACATTTATGACTTGCGATTTTCATGGCTCTCCAGCAGCGAATGGGAGAAAGGGTCTTGGGGATAAAACGTCTTTGGTTTGATTTCCTTTTTATGTTTAATAAGCTCGCAAACAAACTTGCTTATGCAATTATTTAATGCAAAAGTCTATAAATTTTAATTGGGTTTTTCTTCTCTCGACTCTGTTTGGTGTTACTGTAAGCCTGGGCTATTTAATTATAAATTACCATTTATCCGAGTGCCTAAGTCAACAAAGTTAAAGCGTTTAATTAAATCGCTCAAACAAAGCACTTTGTCAGTCAGTTCTTAAAGCCGCAACAAAATCAAAGCCGCAAGTACAAAGATAAATAAGTGGCATTGTCGGTTTCATTTCCGGCTGCAACATTTGCATTCAAATCGCTCTGCAGATGTCTGTCTGTGTGTCTCTTCCTATGTGTGTGTATGTGTATGTGTGCCTGTATCAGTATCTGTTTCTGTATCTGTGTGGGTGTCGTTGTAAGCGGTATATAAGTAGACTCCCAACTGGTTTTATATTTAGGCGTTTGCCTCCGCTAAAAGCACAAAAAGAAAGCAATAAAAAGCAGCACGCCGCGAATACGAAGCCAACCCAAAGTGATGGCTCTGAGACAGAAGGGCAAAGGGAAGGGGAGGGTGTGGGTGTGGGTGGTGAGACGTTTCCACAGTGGGTGGCTAGCACTTTCAGTTAGTAGCAGCTGTCGCTTCCGTCCCGCCCCCGTCGCATTCACAGCCATCCCATCTGTATTGGCGACTTGGCCTCGACTCGACTGTCTTTCAGCTTCTCACTTCATCAGTTACGCCAAAAAGGAGACTCTACAATAAATTTCGCTGATTGCTTCCGACTTTTTTTTTCCACTGCGTCCCCACCCACTGCGTCCTGCGTCCGTTGCCACTTTCCTGGGAGTCGGCATCTACGCGGGCTCATTTTTTATGCCGCTTGATAAAGTAATATCCGTTTTAGGTTCACTTTGTTGGTCCTGCCAGAGCTAGAGCTGATGGTGATGGCAGTTTTGTGGACTCTGCAATACCCTCAAGACACGACGAAAGTGGCGGTAAGTCAGCGCGGGGTATAACAATGATGGGAGGAGGCCAAGGAATGGCAGGAGCATAGCGCGTAGCAATCCTTTAACTTTGCTTTCAAGAAACTATAAATCTTTATATGATGGCCCCATGAATCGAAATCAATTATCAACTAACTAATACACCTGAATTTTAAGCAACATAATTAAGGGGTATTAAGTACAAGGTATAAAAAGTATTTGCTGTTGCTGCAAGTAATGTTCCAACTTTGGGCTATAATTTGGTCACAGTTCTAGCCACACACACACACACAGACTGAGCCTTCAGCCCCCCGCCCACCGCTTCTAACTCCGCTGCAGTTTTGTGGATCCAACACAGATTTGTGGCCTTGGTTACCGAGTGTTGGTCAGGGGCTGTAGCTGGGGATTGGGGATTGGGGATACGGCTTATGTGGGGCGTATGCGTCATATCAGCACACGCATACTGAGCTGTGTAGGTCAATGCTGTTAGAACCAAAGGGAAAGCAAGCCATTGCCATAGGCATGCTCTGTTTTCACTGGCATTGCCTCTCTTGCCACTCTTTCTCTCTTCGCATGTGTGTATGTCCGTGTGTCAGTATGTTGGTATATGTGTAATTGAAACTTCCGCTTTGGTCAGTTAGCGCAATTTAGCAAGCTGCAAAAAAGTTAGCTACGGCTGAAGTAACAGGCAAAGTGCAAAGTCCATTGCAGCTACTTGGCTTTCATTTCAATTTAAACTTTAGAAAGCCAACAAATACACATGCATACTCGTACCACACACACACACACATACAAAGTTGGAGAAGCAGACACATAGCCATGGAGAGAGTAGGAAATTATTTAAAATGATTTATTTCATAACAATTTTCATTAGGTGGCCAACTGCATTGCAGGTTCCCATGCTCTACCGGTTCTACCGCTCCACCGTTCTTTCGCTCTTTCCCGCTCTCTGCACTAATTCACTTTTGCTGATTCCTCTGGAAAAAATATGCGAAAACTGCCTTGAGAGTACCCGCTCCCCGACCACACTCCACTCCACTCATGTTTCATATATGAAATAATTATATATGCGGTCAGACAACGACGACGACTGGCTGCGGGCAGTGCAGCAGTCCCTCCACTCCAGTTCACTGCGCCCCCTGAAAGTTGCTCGGAAAAAATAGAAAATTTGTGGCACTGCTACATGTTCCTTCCATGTTGCCGCTCCACGGCGACTGGTGCATAACTTTGGCGCGGAGATTTCACTCCACAACCGACCACCCGGCCATCGTCTGTGTGCACAAAATTAGCAGAAAAGAAAGCAGATGCAAGCGGAAAAAACGTCGGCCAAAGGAAAATTTAACTTGAAAAGGTTAACAAGCGTCAGACAGCCCACAGCAAGCGCGGGGGAATTACCCAACAACATTACCAGCAGCAACAGCAGCAACAGCAGCAGCAGCAACAAAAAGAACTTATAATTTTTGGCCACAAACCTAACAACAACCAAAAAAAAAAAAAAAGTAAGTAAAAAAGTAGAGTTGGACCAAAAGAAGAATGTTAATGAAAAGCAAGCGTGAAATAAAATCATAAATTCTGCAACGCTTGAGGGGCAAGTACGAGAACGAGTACCAACGAACATGCGGGTGTAAGTGTGTGTATGTGTGTGGGTTTCCTGTTATTATTTTGCATTTGTGTGCACATGGGGAGTGGGGGAGTTGGAATGGGGTCGAGTTAGAGCTAGGAGAAAGCTCGGACTTGGTTGAGTGCATTTGTGGTAAGCCCCCAAATGTACACTACGATAATATGCTACCCCAAACGAGCGAGGGCATGTAACTGTGTATGTGTGTGTGTGTCTGTGGCATGACCATGGGGTACATTCCGTCCCCATGGTCTAGACTTTGGTAAGCTTAACCAGTGATGGCAGCAGAGTGGGAGCACAATTGAATTCAATAAAGGGTGCGGCAGGAGAGAGATGTAGCAGAGATAATATGAATAAATTTTGGCACAGTTAATATTTTGGAACTTTAATATTTTGGAACTCCTACACTATCCAAAATTTACGTATTTATGCATGTTCATCCATATGTATATCCATCTAGAAATACTTTTACCATATCCCTTGTAAAGTTTTCCTACATGGCGAAAGTCAGTTTAAAGCTTTTTTCTGGTGCTGAACTTTGCTCGTTGCAGAGCTTTTATTATACAGCAAGGGAAACCCCCCACTTCATTGCTCTTAAAACTTTCATCACTATGCTAGTTTGCCCCCATTAAAACATCATTGAGTTTAGCATTGTTTTAGAAAATTGTGTACATACGTTTTGTTTTTTTTATTAATTATTGTTTAACTACTTTTTGCTTGAATGTTCTTCCTCTTGCACTCGTCTATGGCTGATGAATTTTCAGTTTCCTTGCGATTGAAGCACTGGAATTTTCCATATCGCAACATAGGCAGAAACAATTCGAGGCGACGCTCTTTGATCTAGACATTAACTAATAAAATGCATAATTCTGTTAACAATTTGTGTGATTTTCTTTTGAGTGTGTGTGTGTGTGTGTGCTTATATAAGTAATTCTCTATGATTAATGCTAGTCTGATTGTAATTGTTATTTATGCGAATTAGCTATAGCACTTCGTTATAGGAGTTAAAGCCAAGAACCGATTTAACGGTAACAGAGTTTTCGGTGTTTCAACGCATTTTGCTCTCTATATGTATATATCGTATATATGTATTTGTGTGTGTGTGTGTTTCGTATATAATAAATTCAATTTCTTTTACATTTTGCACAACAGTTAAAAGTATATTAAACAATTAATAATTTTGTTTTGCTATGGCCGGGCCGAAATACAATTTGCACTATAATTTGTTTATGTTTTTGTTTTTATTTTACTTTTGTTTTGCGTTTGCTTTTGCATTGTTTGCGTGTTTGCGTGTTTGCTTGATTAACTTGTATCTTGATGTATTTTCATGACGTACATATATCGGCTGCATAGAACTGTGATTTAGCATCCCATCCGCATGTCCTAGATTTATTTATTTATATTTTTTTTTTTTTGGTTTGGTTTGGTTTGTACTCGTACTTTGAGTCCAGCTACAAAACGTTGCATAAAGTTGTATAAAAGTTTGTGGTATTCCCCATGTTACGAGTAGAGAGTACCTTTGTTTCATCTGTTACCATTTGACTAGCGAGTAAATACAAAAACCCAATCGATCGACCCCTCTACACACACATAAGTACATGCACTGTGTATGCATATCAATAAATAACTCTATATAGTATTGTTAGAAACGGCTGCTATAAAATCACTGCCAGCCATCACTTTTGGCCAGCACTTCTCTTGTCCTCTGTTCTGTTTGTAAGACTAACGTAATCATTAACTATCTATATAGTATGTGTATATATATGTAGTTCATAAGCGCTAATATTCGTTAATGCAACAAGTCTATGTGGGATCGTCCTCATCACCATCATCGTCCTCCTCTTCCTCCCCATCATCTTCATCCTCATCATCATCCTCCTCCTCGTCCGACTGCTCGGATCAGTCGAATATGCAGACAAAGACACGGAGACAATTCATGCCGAGCTTCTCCCAGCAACCCTCCTCCGTGGAGCGGCCCTCGTTCGCCCGCCGCATCTTCTTCGGGTAGTTCTTGGGACTGCTGCGATCGCTGAGATGGACTGGCATGCGGGCGTATTCGGCACGTGGCTGACGGAACTTCTCCATCAGCTCCGCCTGCTGGTCGGTGAGGTTCTTTAGCTTTTTGCCTGCAAATTTACACAAATTTAAGCATTCGAAACAGAGAGCTTGAGCATCAGCTTGTGGATGTGGACTCACCCTCTAAGGCATCACTGATGAGAGATATTTCCACTGGTGGGAGAAGCTCGATGCGGTCACAGCAACGACGGAACTCGGCGACACTCATACGCAGATAGCGGGGGGTCAGGCACAGGGGTCCCAGCACGGTGCGTCGGTTTTCGGCAGTGCCAAAGATATTCTTGCGGGCGCACTCCGCCAGACTCCACGAGGCCAGGCACTCGAACAGGGTGAGCTCCGAGCGGAGTTGCAGTGTGTCCCGCTTGACCAGAGTCTCCAGCTCTTCGAAGCGCAGGTCACAGATCTCGGGCATCGAGAGCATCAGCTCCGCGTGCATGTCGATCAGCTGGAGTGTGTTGTGGAGCAGGGCCACGCCATAGTCCTCGGTGGTGAAGGGATTCGGATTGGGTATGAGATTGAGCTGCGCCCCATCGCCCCCCTCGGGTGGGTTCTCGCCCACCTGTGCAGCCTTGGCTGCCGCCAGCTGCTTGGCAGCGGCCTTCGCCTTGGAGGCCTGCTTGCGGGCCAACTGTTGCCCACTCTGTTGGGTGGTGATCACTGTCTGGTGCTGGTTTGTCAGCGCTATGCCCTGATAGAACCACAGCGCCTTGAATATGTCCAATGCGGTGGCACTGGAAATTCTGAGATCAAGCTCCCGAATGCAGTAAATGATCTGAAATTACGAGAACGCTGATAAAATATCTGAAAATAGGGGGAACTCCATCTTAAAAAACTCACCAAATCAGGCACGTTAAAGCGATCGGATAGTTCCAGGATCTTCAGCAAGTGTTTGTGATCACGATAGGGTATAAAGTGCTTCTCCATGTATCGCACGATCAGCTCAAAATCGTTCTTGTCCACATTGAGGATCTGGAAGTGGTTGTCGCTCTTGCGGCCACTGTTGGGACCGGCGTGTATCAGCTTCGCCAGCTCCACGCTGCGCTCCACCACGGACTTGCGCTCGCAGCGGATCATATACCGATCGTCGCCGTTCACCACAATGAAGTCGATGTACGGATTCACAATGACGGGCACTCCTGTGTAGATGTTCGTTTGGCCCCGTGCATATGGCGGTGGCATCGAGTGCGCTGGTGGGGCACTGGGCGCCGGGGCACTGTGTATGGCGTCCACGTGATGCCCGTCGGGGCCAAGACCGAACGGCAGTACCATTTTATCCTCCTCCCTTGCGTCGTTGTTGTTTTTGTTGTTTTTGTCGCCCACGGGTGGACCCTGTGGATCGTTGTTGTTGCTATCGACTGGCTGTGGCTCCTGTTCTATTGCGGTTCCCTCCTCCCGACTCCGCAGTGCGTTGTGGACTAGAGCACCGCCCACCAGCGGAAGTTTGGTGATGCGTTTTTGCTTGAACAGCCCCTTCTCCAGTTCGGGATCGTAGCGCCTCGTGCGATTTTTGTTGCCACAACGGAACTCTAGGTTCCTGCTCTCTGTGAAGACCCACTCTTTGTTGCGGAGCTGCAAGAAAATAAATGCCATTGAGTACTCGTATTGGCTGTCAACTTGATGGGTATTGTGTTACTGTTCCTCCCCTCTGGGAATTACATTCTTTATCAGAATCAGTCTGGATAATATTTACGAGCCTGGGGAATGGCCATTAGTCATGTTTCGAGTGTGGGCCATTTCGCCACGCTCGGAAATCTTTGAGCGTGCCATAAAGTAGAGCCCTGTAAGTGCTTTCCCCTCAAGCTATTGATCGATTCATGAAGATCTCCACTCCCAGCAATCTTTATCCTTATCAGTCGATTGCCACACTTCAGAAACAAATCGTTTAGCGTTCTACTCAGAACTTAATCGCTGATTTCTGCACTCGACTGTAAATAGTGATACTCATTATCTTAAAGTAATGCCGCCTAATTAGCTAGCGAGCCGAGTTCTTTTTCGGGGCTGGACTGCTACTGGGATCAGTTTCCTTATATTTGAATCGTTTGATTGCCACCAGTTCGGTTGCAATCCATCATCGGGGGACTATAAATCATTTTGCCAACACTTCTCGTATCGAAACTCATAGCCCAAAAGCAAGCTATCACGAAGCAAGCCGCGTGATATGTCCATAAATTGTATAATACCTCCCCGAAAAAAATATCAACCAATGATAGTGACAGCGTTCCCGTGGGTGTTTCAGGGGAGGGAAGAGCATCCAGGCGGCAGTGGCACATTAATCGGTGGAGACTAATTATGACGTCAAGTGGGCTACAGTAGTAATGCGCCCTGATTTGAGGCCCATATCTTATAATTCTAAACCGATTTAATTTCGTTATCTATCAAAAATAAAACTTAAATGCAGGCAATGATAAAATGTATTCCTAATTTTGCACACTCTTTTATAATCAAATAATTGTTTTAGCACTGATTTAATTCTGACAGAAAGAATTTATGGAAAAGAGGATTGACTATTGATATTTTATAGCTGCAGAAACGTTTGCCAGCACTTAAAATCATGTAACGCGTGAGTTCCTACCCTAACATGCACAGCTCAAATTGAAGTCAAATTTTCCAAATATAATCACACAAAAGCTTGTTAAACCATTTATTTCACGTAGTTCAGTTTTGCAATTGCAACCTTAAGCAGATCATGTGAAAGGTAAACATCCCTATCTATTGCCGAAGAGTTCTCAGATATATTTGAAAACAAAGAAATTGGTTCATTGGCCAGCGTTTGATTTGTAGTTCCTGCTCTTGTTTATGCCATAAGAATAGTGCAAACAATATTAATTATGGTACTCAAAGATTGCAAAGAAATTCGCCGCATAACCATAGAGAACACCGCAAAAAGAATGTGAGGGGGGAGGGGGGGGGGGGGAATATTAATAAATAAAATAAATTATATGACGATACTGACGATGTTTGAACAGTTGTAAGGAAGGCGAAATGAAGTGTTTACGACTCCACCCATGGCTCGTGATGGAAAGGGAGCTGGAGCAGTTCCCCCTTCCATCAGATAGAGAGCGCTGATATTTAAATATTTACACAGCGAACAGAGAGGAAAGAGCGTGCGGACCGCAACGGGAAGTGTGACGAGCGCTGTGGTAGTGTGTGATAGTGCAATAAATAAATTATCGTATGCAAATAAATTTATGGCTGTTCATCGATTCAGAGCGTCGTGTGTTATCATCTGCACACTGTATCTGAGGTTTGAGGTTGGGGTCTGGGTTGGCCTGCTGTCTGGGGTCTGTGCTCTGAGAGGTCTGATCTCTCAAGTTTTATGTGTAGCACAGGCATCGAATTAGCACTCGGATGGTAGTAGTCATAAGTTCCCTACGTTTCCTTTATCAGTGGGATAGCTGGTTCACTGCTCTGGATTCCATTTACGATGGGGAGTGGCTGTGCATATCAGCCTTGAGGCTGCCACAAATGCCACAGTTAACCAGTAAACGCGTAAATAAAGAGCCCCCCCTGACCTTGTGCGATTACGTTCTTGAACTTTACAGCGCACATGTCATTCGATTCCCTATCGCAAATTATCATTTACTATCATGTATGTACGCGTATATCATGCACTTCTTACACTATATTGTATTGGTTCCTTCTGCTTATCGGCCCGGGGCGCGTTCCATCAATCAATCAAATGCGATTTACTTCGGCTTGCCGCTGTCCAAAGATATGTTTTGGGCGAGTATTTATATTTGGAACTCTATTTTTTGCCACATATATTTCCAATATTATAAATCACACACTAATTGGTTTGTCTTTTTGGTTGGGTGGGGTGTCGGTAGGTGGTAGGTGGTAGGGGGAGGTAAGTGAGTTGTATTCGCTCGATTTTCCTTAATGGCGAACCGCACACCACGAGTTTAAGACCTCGACTGCCATTTCCAGTGGATTCGCAGGCGGCTACATCGACATCAGCAGCGACAGACAGCCACTGCCTGCGATGGTGGCAGCGGCAGCAGCAGCAACAGCAACAGCGGCGCCTGGGGTTATACATATGAGAATGTGTCATAAAGAGCGGAATAGCGGTTTCTAGCTGAGGCATTCCGAAACATATGTATACACAGACAGTATAATAGGATTGTATTGCTTATCTTAGCTTAGCAGTAGATCCAAGTGATTTTTCTCCTGCAGCTAAATTATTCAAACCAATAAAGGTTACAAGAGGGAGTTCTGAAATTTGTATATTTAAATGCCCCTTCGCTAAAGCAGTGGCTTTAAAATTTAAATGATTAAAAACCACCCTCTGCGAAATGCAGGCCAGCCGGAAATGAACTACTTAAAGTGCGCCGCTTCGGGAGCCTCAAGAATCAGCCTCAAGTCCGCGATTATCAAGCTAATTTTTTTTTGGAGGGGACAGATGACAAGTAAGTAAATCAATATCACACGCACTCGTATCTTAGTTTAAGGGAGCAGCAGCAGCAGCAGCGGGGAAAAGATTTGATTATTGGACTTAAAAATTAACAAGAAGATTGTGTGGGTGGTGGTGGGAGTGGGACTAGAAGTGGGTGTGGGCGTCGTATTTGACAACTGTAATTGTTGTCGCTCCATTATGTAGGCACGAAATCCATTTTATTGATAAGCAATGCAAATATGCGAACGGTTATAAAAAGAGGCAGACGCCGAGAAAAAGGCAAAGGCAACAAACAACAGCAGAAGTAGGAACATGCCCATGTGTGTATGCCTGGTTGTGAGTGCGTGTAAGTGTGCATGTAATAATAGCAACAATGAGAAGTACAGGCAAGGGCCACCGAGAGATTAGTTGCAGTAACTTGCTCGTATCAACGGCCAAGGCCGGGACAAAGCTGCAACAGTGCCTGCCTGCTTGAGCCCACGCTTAAGGGTAGGAGAGAGCAGAGCAGAGCAGAGCAGAGCATGGTGTATGTGCACAAAGTATTTATGCACTCACCGAGGGCTGCCACAGAAGTTGCAGCGAAGATTAAGCATAGCTGAACGCTGATTATAATTGAAACAAAAGAAATATTAGAAAAGTTTTCCTATAGAGCAATTTTATAGGATATACAATTTTAGCACATTTAAAAATGTAAAATGTGGTGCTTATTGGACCCCTCCCCGCCCTGCATAGGGCCGCTATCATATTTAGCGTTGATTCAGTTCTGACACAAAGAAGTAAGGGACAAGAGGATGGATATTGATAAATCATAGCTGAAGAGACTTTTGCCTGACCTGCCTCCTACCCTCTTGCAATTTATGTCCCATTTTCCAAATATAATCGCATCAAAGCTTGTTTGAAACCATTTGTATCACATAGTTTCCTTTGAAACTTGAACTTTGAGATTACGAACAGCTCAATTGAAGGGCAACCATCCCTATCTATTTGAAAACAAAGAAATTGGTTCATTTACCAGCTTTTGATTTGAAGTTGGAAGTTCCTGCTCTTGTTTCTGGGAGGGAGAAATATAAATAAGTAAAACAAGTTGTATGACGATACTGACGATGTTTGAACAGTTGAAAGAAAGGCAAGTGAAGTGTTGACGACTCCATCTCTTCGATCCCACCTCGCCCTGCATAGGGCCGCTATCATGTTTACTCATGTTGTGTGAGGCGACTGCTGGGCCGCTAATGAGTCCCCCCGCTTCTGCCAGTCGCGTAAAGCGGAAGCAGCAGCAGCACAGAAAAACCTACAACAAAAACTGTTAACAGTTAACACTATGGAAGTTCTCCGACTTTCCGGCTCCGTCGTCGACTCAGCCTCACGCACGACCTTGACACTGGGGACACCGAGCGAACTCCCTCCCTACCGACCACGCCTAGCTGTGACAACAGCAACTCTCTGTAGACGGTAGCACCCATTTCCCCATTTACAGCATATGATGATTATTAAAACCCGTTTACGATCGCCGCACGGTCGCATGGCGTCAGAGCGCATCAAATATTTGCATTCATAAAGGGAAAAATATAATTAGCAGCAGCATCAGAGCAAAGTGGAGCAGAATCAATATATATACATGCATATGTACATATGTTGGTATGTGTGTAGGCCTCATGCTGGGGCCAGAGAAAAAACTGTTTAATTAGTTTAATTTAACATAATTATTCACATTGTTGGCTAAAGGTAAACATCTCCGAATACGCAGCAGACGCAGAAGCCGAAGTGCAAATAAACAGACGATAGAAATCGATGGGAAGGCACGTAACGTATTCGAGTATTTGGAAACCGAAATGGAAACAACAAAAAAGCGCACCCAACCCAATTAACTTCCTGGGAATACGAGTGCGAGTACGAGTACAACCCTGCAACACAATTGCATCACAAGCAAACCCTGAAGATCTCTAGAGTTCAAAAATAAAACACTTCGCCACATTCTTGGGCGACCAAGGAAAAGTTCAGCAAGTGCGATGGCTCCGCGGGCTCTATTTATACGCCCTAATGAGGTGCATTATTAGGGCGTGAGAGAGGGAAAAGTGTGAGTGCAGTGTGATTATGAAACACTCTGCAGAACTTTAATTAAATAAGTGGATATATCCAGAGTAGAGTCATATCCAGAGCAGAGCCATGGGCCGCAACAAATGCGACTTGGATGTTGAACTCTCAGCTGGAAGCCTGTTAAATGCTCGACTCGGGACGCGTAATTCAATTTGCCACATGGCCCAGTGGCACCTCAGAACCTGCGATTATGACTCCGTCTGAGTCATTCCTAGATTCTTTGTGGCGGGTGGCAATGTCTGCCATGGATACCCATACCCTGAGAACAGGACAGACAAATGACATCATTTGATTTTGATGCCGTGCAAAAAACACAATAATTTTATTGCACTGTCCAGGAGGGAACTGCATTACTCACCCATCCATGCCCGTGCAGATAGAACGGATGTGCGGAGCCGAAGATGACGAGCCGTAAACTCAGACAAAATTGTTTTCTGGCCACTTGGCTGCGTGCCAAATGTAACAGCAGACAACGAAATATGAAAGAACATTTGTATGGGAATGGGGATCAAGTAGCCCCCCAACAAAGAGCGTACCAGGGCACTGCGTCAGTCATTCAGTTGGTCAATCAGTCAGTCTCTGATGGGGTTTTTGCCACTGACTCATCCTCTTGAAGTGGGGTATCAGGTGCAGGTGGGGGGTTCAGACATGCTTGGATCAGACATGTACCCGATAGAGACGTAGAATTTTGTATTACAACAACAAAGTAAGGGAAATAACACTATATGTATGATATAGCAGATAATAACCGCTGCATAAAGGTGAGGTGTATATCCCGAGTCAGCAAACAATTGACTTGGAATTTAATTTCCTCACAAGCAAAACTTTTTTTTGGCTGAAACTTTCACCTGGTTTTCCCTGGTGCTCTCTCCCAGAGCCAGGAGTGGGGTGTGAGTCTCCTCCCAAAATGCAAACAAAACATGAAAACGGAAAAAGCGGAAAAACTCACCCTCAATGGATGAAGCGAGGGTAAGAGAGAAAGAGAGACAGAGAGAGAGAGGAAAACCCTACGCAACATGTTCCATGTTCGGCATGGAGTGGGGCATGAGTGAGGCTCTGACAGAAACTGGAGCAAACAGTTCGGGGGCAGAGAAGAATCCGAAATGAACAAATTTGCAATTGCAGACAAAAGGAAATAAAAAGAAAGCGGAGTGTGCTGGATGAGGAATGCGGGATGGGTCTTGGGCTAGGCCAATAGCCAATATCAAGAGCGCGACGTTGGGATCCATGCGTTGGTGGCAGATAATGGGGAGCAGGAAGGGATTGGGGTCGCATGGGCAACCAGTTGGTGCCAAGGGCGATGAGGCGGCTGAGGCAGCAGTGGCGGTATGGACGTGAGGGCTCGTAACAATTGACAATGCGGCGTATGCGCGATGGATGCCCAGCTGATGTGGCGGATGATACACTGAAACACTGACACAGTGAACGAGTTTCCCACTCACTCACACGGGCACACACACCCGCATATAATTACACTTGCACACACATACAGAGAAAGTTCTCCCTGAATTCCTTTGAACAGGCTTTCGCTTTGCCAAGTATCTGTGGCTGTGGCTGTGTCTGTGTGTCTGTGTATCTTATGGATACACAATTTATGTTAGCCAATTGCTCGCTCATGTTTTGTATATACGAATGGACTTTTGATTAATTACACACGGGCATTGCGACTTACCCCAGTTAATGGCACAAATTCAGAATGGGAATTTTCGAAATAATTCAGCAATAGATATTCCTTCCTGACTGCCGATTTCCGCCACCAGCAGACAACAGATATTTTTGGCGAGAGATTTCGATTCTGTTTAGTTAGTGTATGGTTTTTGTTTTGTTTTGTTTTGGGGGCAATTTGTTTATATCCAATTTAATGCCGCACACTGCCCGCACTGCCCGAACTGCCCGTGTTATGCTCTCCACTCTCCATCCATGTATTCATATGCCACCTACAAATACTCGTACGTACGTAGGTGTGTGGATATATATTGTAGATATGCAATATAGTACGATCCGAGTCCGCGTCCGAGAGTTTTGCGCGCGCCTCGTGCCAAACGGAATTGGGAAAGGCAGCCACCAACCAACGACAACGACAACGTCTCCTCTCGAGAGCCGAAAACCGTATATACAACAAAATATTTCGTGTGCGCTTTTCCGAGCGGAGAGCGCCAAATCCAAAAACCAAAAACATAAAAAAAACACCAAGGCACAAGAAAAGCGAGACAGAAGGAAAACATACCCAATTTCCCGCCACAGCGTTGCCACTATGTTGGTCAATATCATCAGTATAATCCATCGAAAATTTATGGATAAACTGATCCTAAATTAGGAAAATATATGTAGAATTTTGAATTAGAATTGAAAGTATTTCTGACTGTTATTCCATATTAGAAACGACAGGGAAAACACGGCCTTCTGGCAGCCCTGGGCAGCTGGGCATGGGGAAAATTCTCAGCAGCATTTCCCCAGCCGGACATGCGCAGTGGGTGTCCAGTGAGAACTCTCTCCGACCCACAGGTCGTGCGGGCAGCCAAAAGACGCAACATTTTCGAGCGTGTGATAAGACGCGGGACACCGATGCGGATGCCCCCGGACAACAACTTTCCCTTTCCAAAGAGAGACCAAGCGAGCGAGCGAGAGTGCGTGCGTGGGCATCATATCATAGGGAGGGCTGCCTCTGTCTCTTTTGGGGCCCTAGACAACGGAGTGGTGTATTGTGTGAGGTAGGAAATTTATTGGTCTTATCAACACCCGACCCGACGCCCGGACCGAAAAGGGAATGGAAGCGAAAGCCAACGGAAAATATCGGGCAATGCAAACCACCAGAAACTAGGTCAAATTTGACTTTACGGAGTCGAACCATTTGGTAAAAGTTTGGCAATATTTAAGGGCCATCGATTCTGGCTTTGGTATCCTCCTCTGCCATATTCCACTCCCCCCAGTTCCACGCAATTGCATTTGTTTACATTTGTTAAATTTTTTATTTTATTTCATACGATTATTTATGAATTTTACAACTTTAGTTTCGTTTCATTTTAGCAGTGTAATTCCGGATAGATTAGGCAAAGAAAGAGCGAAATAGATTTAGATTGTACGTCAGAGGTTGTAGCACGGCTAATTTAATTTTGCTTGAGACACGAAGCGTTTTTTAGCGTTTTGATCCAAGCTATTTGTGGTACACTTCCGGGGCATTGAACTAAAATGAAGTCAGGGCTAACAACCGATGGGTGCACTAGTCTGTTCGGTGCCATTTAATCGCTTGATGGCGATTTTGGCCACACCTTTGGGACACTCTGTGGAGCCGCCCATGAGAACGAGGAAGAGTCCATTGTGAGCCACCGTATTCCACAGGCGCTCGATGACCTTGTCGATTTTGGCAGCACTGCGTTCGGCCCTATCCACGAGAAAGTCTTCTTCGGGTATCGGCAGATTGGCAATGGTCAGAGAGTTCTCCAGAGCTATTTCGGTGACCTTTCGCACAGCTTCTTTGGTGGTGGCCACCTCGTGCACGAGGACAGCGCTGCTATTGTCCTTGGGGACGACCTGCTCGGCCTTTTGGATGATCTCCTTGAGGCGCGGCTGCAGGCCTCCCACATTCACGATCGCCGTCCTCCTGTCCCGCTTGGCCGAATATGCAAACATATTGTTCGTGATGCTGTCGCCGCTGCAGGCATTGGCGATCTCCTGCAGGCGCTTGTGTTGCGTTAGAATCTCGTCGCCAAACTCTATGCTGTTGGCGAGCTTCATCTTCACGAGCTTCAGCGTGGCCCTGGAGTCTTCGATCGAGTCGTGACCGTACTCGTTCTCCTGGATGGTCTCCTTCAGGAAAGTCATCGCCAGATGCTTCAATTTGCTCTTCCGCCGCCGCACCCCGGAGATGTTGAAGCACACGCTCGTGTCGATCACATACGGATGCATCATCCGCATGGCATTCAAATCAGAATTAAGAGACTGTCCCACGAGGATGGCATCGTCTGGCAGCAGCGCGGACACCTCTTGCTGCACATCCTTCAGCTGCTTGGTCACCAGCTTCATGATTTCCTCGGTGATGCCCGAGTATTGGGTTAGGTAGTCCACAATCCTGTTGTCGGGCATCACCAGCGTCTCGTACACAGTCCTGTACTCCTCGTCCACAATGGAGATACGCGTCAGCTCGTTGAGCCCGGCCACAGTGCGACACATTTCACAGTCCACGCCGTACATGGGACTGCGGTTGGTCACCGGCTTGTAGGATTCCTTTGTGAACATGTACGACCTGAAGCGGCTGTGAAGCTCTCCCTGCAAGGGGATTGGATAGCCCTCGTCGACCATTTGCAGGGCGGAGAGCAAAAGTTTGGTCCGCGGGAATTTGTCATCTGGATGCAGCTGAGGCTGCTCCACGCCCGGCTCCTGGCTCTCAATGGGGAAAATGCCCCTCACGAACAGTGTGGGGTCCTTGTTGAGTGCCACTGCAGATTCCAGGGAGCCGTGCTCGTCAATTAGCATCTTGGCCTGCACACTGGTCAAGGGAATCTAGAAAGAACCATAAATATATCAGGGATCAGCCATCAGCGATCAACGTATAAAACGAAAGAATTACATACCTGAGCGATCTCATCGATAATCAAGCCTTCCCCCTGCTGGGGCAGCATAAGCTCCAGCTTTGTGTTGAATATCCTGTTGGTGGCCTCGAACTGGCTCTCATTGGAGAGGTAGTGGTAGAGGGAGAGGCCCTCCAGGATTACCACCACACTATGAGACAGACTCACCCACTTCTCGATGGAGCACCAGCGGTCTGGCCGGCAGGGGCTCTTTTGGCCAATCATGCCGGACATCAGCAGGTTCTGTATGTCGCTGAGGAAGATGGGCGTGCGCGCATCCTGAGGCGTCTCCAGCAATGCACGTTGCCCCATCTCCCTCAGCCGCAAGGCGGGAACATCCTGCAGTCGCCGCTTGCGTCGTCGCAGATCCGCCGAAAGGGTCTTGTATTGCTCTTCGCTGAGTGTAACCAACGTGTCATCGGGTATATTATCGCCCCCGGCTTCCTCATCATTGCGAATCCGTTTATTCTGTGGCTCATATGTGTGGTTCGGATCCGCATCTATGGTCCGTTCCGGAGTGCTCCTGATGGTGTGCCGATTCTTGGTTTTTCGCTTGCTGCTCACTGTGGAAAACCCTTCGTCTTCCATCGCCTCTGTGCCGCTGGATTTGGACACAGAGTCCCGCTTCTTTGCCAGCTCCGCCTCGTGGAGACGGTCCCGATCGTTCAAGTCCATCAGATTGGCCAATGCGGCCAGCTTCTTCTTCTTCTTTTCGCTACGCTCCTGCTGTTTCGCTGAGACTTGCTCCTTCATATTGGCGAGCCTGATTTTTAAGCTGCAACTCAAAAGGTTAGTTAGTTTTTATTTCCAGGCCTTTTTATTTTTCAATCAAAACAAATAATGTGCTGTGCGCACATGTGGGTAGAGGTGTCAAACCATCGAGGGCACTATCGATAGTATCGATATTTTACTGCTAGCCTCTACTATCGACAGTTTTGCGACTATCCTGATAGTATCGAGCTACAGTCGTTGCGCTTTTGATATATTTGGATTGGCTGCTATAAAATACGAAGACACATTTGTAAAAAAAAATCGACAGGTGGCATCTAATTTTTACAATGGACAAGTTCCTAAAAGGTTTCAATGGTTTTTTAATAATTATTTGAGCCCGATACTATCTCGATAGTATCGTTTGTTTTTCAAAACATTCAACGTTGATATCCTCGATTTTGATATTCCGTTTAATATTACTAGCTAGCTGGAACTCTCAGCCCTAAATAAATAATTTTATCCGATAGATTTATAAATTTTCTACAAGATTAGCAAGTTTTCAGAAGTCCTCTTTATTGGATTATTTACATATTAAGGTTCAAACAAAAACAACATAAAACGAATGTGTCGTCGTTTTGAGGCGTTGCCAGACTCATGCAATTCGTAGTTGCTGCGGGCTGCCATACCATGATATTTTGTGACATGATATTCCTCGATTTTGATATTCCGTTTAATATTACTAGCTAGTTGGCCCTCTCAGCCCTAAACAAATAATTTTATCCAATTCCTCAATGAATTTTGTTCAGGATTGGCTAGTTTTCAGAACTCCTTTGCATTGGATTCTTTACTTAATAACGTTCAAACAAAAACGGCCAAAGCATAAAACGTAAATGTTGACTAAGTGTGACGTCAGTGTTGCTGGTCAACCAAGTTTCTTGTATGCGTATGTACTTTTGTATACCTTATTTCTTTTAATTGATGTTAAATGTTTTGTTCCAAGCTCCATTGAAACATTATTTATGATTTTGTCCTAGATTGACATGTTTTTTACCTATAAATGCACATGTTGTGTTTTATATATACATTTATCCTGGTTCTGATACCTATTATTGGAACCCGTGAGCTGCAAAATTTCGTTAATATCTTTAAAACAGAGACTGAGTAGTTTCTGCAGTAATTGGAGCCTGAAATTACAAACAATATCTCAAGTCCATAATGTCAGTATTTTTTGTGCGCTAAATGGAGTTTGGCGGTCATTTTGAAAAGTATATTATTGATTAAATAGTATACCGTAAATATACTGACGGAAACGAAAAGTTGCGTTGATATTCCTCGATTTTGATATTCAGTTTAATATTACTAGTTAGTTAGCCCTCTCAGCCCTACACAAAAAATTGTATCCAATTCATCAATAAATTTTGTACAAGATTGACTAGTTTTCAGAACTCTCTCCAAGAGCGTCCAGGCGCCGGGCGCCTTCTAAGAACCACGGATTGGATTGCTTTGTTTCACGTTACAGCTGTTTTGTTGGTCTTAATAGAGATCGTCAAAAATTTTACATTTATTAAATGAAATTGGTTATAAAAAGTGTCAACAAATAAGTCGTTAATATGTAGCGAATGTGTAGTTACAGCGTAGTTAGCATGTACAAAAATAAAAATTTGTGGAGCTTTTTTGTTAAACTTTATTTTATAAGCAGTCCAATAAATGGGAGTCTTTAAAATAAACTATATTGAAGAAAATTGATTCAGGTGTCTGATAAAATTATACGTTCAGTGGTGAGAATCCTAACTTGCTCTTAATATTAAATGGAATATCAAAATTTGTCATAACACCATAAGTTACGCCTATCCCACAAAAGTATCGATACTTTTGTGCAACCCAACTCTGTAAATCGTGTATCATCTCTACTTTCACCGTTAGAATGCCGCGTGCTGACGCCTAAATTGCGCCTTTTTCAAGTTTTCAAGTCTGCGTGAAGAGATAAAAGTGTATACTGTAGTGCTAGGAATAGAGATCGACAAAATGTATGCCGCAGTGAAGCCGCTGTCGAAGTACTTGCAATTCAAGTCGGTGCACATTTACGATGCCGTGTTCACCATCCACTCAAAGTGCACGGTGGCCCTGCTGCTGGCCTGCTCTTTTTTGCTCTCCTCGAAGCAGTACTTTGGCGATCCCATCCAGTGCATGCGCGACCACAACGACATGGACTTTATCCACGCCTATTGCTGGATGTACGGAGCCTACGTCAGCACCAACATAACGGAGCCGCCAACTCCATTTGGTCACGAGCGCTGCAAGCCGGGTAAGAGATGCGATGCAAAATGCCGGCCATCAGCGCTCGATTTGTGATTTTAACATTTGCTTCGTGCAGGTGGATATGGTGGAACAGTGCCCTTGGCCCAGCGCCGTTATCTACGCTACTACCAGTGGGTCGTGCTGGTGCTGCTCCTGCAGTCGTTTGTGTTCTATTTGCCGGCATTTTTGTGGAAGATCTGGGAGGGCGGCCGCCTGAAGCATCTGTGCATGGACTTCCATCAGACTGCAGTCTGCAAGAAGCGGAGCAACGCTCACTTGCTTGTACTGGTCAAGTACTTTACGAGCGACTACAAGGAGACGCACTTTCGCTACTTTGTCAGCTATGTGTTTTGCGAGATCCTGAACCTGGCGATCAGCGTAAGTAGACGCTTTACACTCTTTGTGGTACCCCTTTAGCCTGTTGTACTCCCGCAGATTGTGAACATGCTACTTTTGGATGTGTTCATTGAGGGTTTCTGGACTCATTACGTGGACGCTTTCCTTGCGGTCTACTCTGGCGACTGGCACATGTGGAGCAGCATCACCAAACGCGTATTTCCCAAGTGCGCCAAATGTGAGGTAGTCAGATTCGGTCCTAGCGGATCGGACTCTTCAATGGACACCCTTTGCCTGTTGCCCCTGAATATTCTAAACGAGAAGATCTTTGCCTTCTTGTGGGTCTGGTTTATGGCAATGACATTTCTGGCTGGCCTCAAGCTCTTCTTCCGCATAATTACCATGTGCAATGGCTGCATACGCTTCCACATTATGCGGGCCAGAGCACGTCTCATGCCCAAGTCGCATCTACAGCTCGCCCTGCAAAACTGCAGCTTTGGCGACTGGTTTGTCCTGATGCGTGTGGGCAATAACATTAGTCCCGAGATGTTCCGTAAGTTGCTCGAAGAGCTCTACGAGGCCAAGTCCCAGCGCAAGTTGCCGCCTGGAGCGGACGAAATCTAACCATGATACCCATTTAAATTTCTGACATTTTCCTATCAACAATGAAGTTGTTTCTTTTGTTTTCCCGCGTGGTTGGACAAGTACTTTATTCATTCATATTCATATTGTTATAATCTACTCCCTAATCGATATGTAAGCATTATCGAGATTGTATTCTACTTGTTTATTATCTCAATTCAAGTTCCTTCTTAGCTAAGCAAAATGTTGCATTTACTTACACATACTTTATAACGTATATTATTGAATATAATTTTGTAACTTTATAATGGACGATACATATCGGATGGAGTGTACTCACCGTTCTGCTCGAGTCAACTGTATCATAGGTGTCCTACCGCTGATCTCCGCCGATTGTGGATCTATCTGCTGATTGGGTGGCATTTTCATTCCTTCGTGAATCTACGTGAATTTACGTGATGGTTTAGCTAGCAGCCTTTTCTTTTTGACATCTATTATATATCATACACTCACACTTGTTCCGTTGGTAAAATTTTGATATAAGATTTTTGACAATTTTCAAGTGAATTTTCATATGTACAATCGGATGTGTGCCTATTTTTGCAGTAATGGAGGTTTTTAGTGTGCCACCTTTAAGACTAAAAGCTACTAAAAAAAGGTGTATTTTCTCTGCTTGAGATGTATGAAATTTGTATCAAAATAATTTCGGAATAGGTTGTGTTTCTATCAAGAAATGAGTCGCAAAGATTACTTTAATCGAACATTGCCAGCCCATGGGTTGCTGTGTTTCTAGATTTCCTGTGTATGTGTGTAGAGTGGGGGTGGGGGTGGGGTCTACTGATGGATGATGGGTGGGTGGTTCGTTGCTCTGCAAATTCCCCTTCAACTTGCACTTTTGTCCGATGGTCGTCGCTTATTGCTGACCTCTGCAAATGTTGGACCGTTTTTCATTAACCAAAAAACAGTAAAGTTCGAAACGTAGCATAAAATTGTCAGCGATGTGCATTGGAAGTGGGTCGATCGACTGCTGATCCACTTTCCGGAAGCCTTCATAAGCCCAGTGAGCAGCCGGTGATAGCTTCAGTTGCCGTTTGCAGTTCGCCGTGTGTCGTGGATATCAGATTCGATTTTGCCGGTCGCTTTTCTGCTTTTTGTGAATTTTTGTTTGAGTGCACGAGTGGAACCGCTGTAATTTGAGGCTCCTTGTTGGGAAGCTAATTAAACAAAGTGAAGAACAGCCAAAATAAAGCAACAAAAAATAACAAAAATTGCTTGCAGCATTTCCAGCTTAGTTTTCAAAATGTATTGAGCATAAGTGATTGTTCCGGAAACACCACAGAAAGTTTAAGAATTAAGATGAATTACAATATGGATGGTACGTGGAATACATTTCGTTTTTAAGCAAGAAAATATTTTTTAAATTATATGAGTCTCAACGTTAAAGTAAACTCCAATAAGTTGTTCGATTTTAAGTTCCAATTTTGTTCAATTTTTGCATCAGCATTTTTATTGAAATTAAAATTATTGCGAAATGGCTGAGCAGACCAGAAATTGCTGATCAAAATAAAGCCCCAAAAAACGACGAATTGGCTAAGAATGTTTAATCATGTTAAAACTAAAACAATGTTCACAGCACTTTTATGGATTGTCAAAAGATAAAACTAAGTAATACATTTTAAGTAATTTACTCAGTTCAAATAGTTCAAGTGCCAGCCTATGAATTTTATTCGAAATAACTACGATTATAATTTTGAGAAAATGAATTTATTAGAACTGGAGGCCACCAGGCTGCTGCGTAGTCCGCGCCACTGCTGTAGTCGTTCGCCCAACAAACGCTTCCTGGCCATTGCCGTGCTGGTGGTCCTGACGCTGTGCTTCATGCTGATCTACCATGGCTTTGTGGTGGAGAAAATGGGTAAGAAAATGAACAGAGAAGGATGAGTTTTACAAGTAAACTAATGATAATACTCATTGCCAGATCGGGTGCAGCAAATTGCCGCCCTGAATGAAAAGCATCGACAGCCCATGGAGCCCGTCGATGACAATCAGGATGTTCTGATCGTCAGCCCACAGACATTGCACATGAAGATTGAAGATCGGCAGAGCCGCTTGAACAAATTGCGTTGGAAGTTCCGGTTACATAATAGGCGTCGTATGCCGCGTGACCTGTCCAGCAGGGACCTGCTAGATCCCCTTCAGGTGGAGGCCAACATGCAGCATATCTACTCGAAGCTGAGGAGCAAGCGGGCCCGGGAGGCCCTCAGTCTGCTGGAGAACGAGTATGTACGCTGTAAGAAGCAGACGCCGCACGATTGCATGTCCGCCTTTGTGCGGATGTACAACATGGCCAAGGAAATCACCGAAAAAATGGAGAAAATGAAGGCCATCATGCGGGAGCAGCAGCCCCAGCTGGAATCTGGAAGCATGGAGTCGGAAGAGCCGCAGGAAACGACTTCTGGGCCCACGATAAGCGCGGCAAACGTCACCGAGGAGACGTCCACGCAGAAGCATGTACGATCCAAAATAAAGCCAGCAAGAATCAGCTGGATCATCGACGGCCATGACCACGACGACCATGCGGTCTATACGGATAATACGCCAAAGTCATTGACCACCAAAGAGCCAATAAACACCACCACTTTGCCGCTGGTGGAGACGACGACCCCGCAGGCAACGGTTGAAGTGACCTCTGCCTCAAGTGAGGGACCCTCTGGCCTGATTGTGGAGACCACAACGGATCAAATCAGTTGGATCTTGGACCGCTTCGACAAGCCCAAGGAGATTGTGCACACCACAGAGGGGCCCAGGCAGCGTACCACTAGGGAGCTGACTACCACAGCAGCCACAATGAACTCTGGCCTGGAACCCACCTCGGAGAAAGTTGTCTGGGAGATTAATCTGACAACTGATGCACCCGAAGCCCTGACTACGACCACTGCAGCAGCATCCCAAAATGAGACACTGCCACGGAAGCTGCAGTTCGATTGGATCATTGATGGCGAGGAAGTTGTGGAACCGGAGCCAGGGATGGGAAACTCTAGCTCCACCACAAGCACCACCCAAGCCACAGTCAGCACCACAGATGCCAGCGATAAGCAGAACTTTACGGCGTATCCAACCAAGCCAAAGCCCGTGAAGTTTAGCTGGATCATTGACAGCGATGTGATCAGCGCAGAGGCGAGCAGCACGACCAGTAAACCCAAGCTAACGACCACCACGAAGACACCCACCACCAGCAGCAGCAGCAGCAGCACCACCACCACCACCACTGAGACAGGTTCCCGCATCCCAGTGCATCCACTGGACAATCCCAGCAGCGTTGAGAACATGCTCGAGAGCTTTGAGCGGCACGAACAGGATAAGCCCATCCGAAAGGTCCTTCCCAGCAAGGAATCTTTGGAGGAAACAGGCACAGATCTGTACGAGCGCCAGCACTGGCTGAAGAAGTTCGAGCAGCAGGCCATGGAAACGAAGGATGAGCTGATAGACACTTTTGGCACGGCGCTGGATGCTAAAGTGCTGGACAAAATGGGACCCAAGATCAATCCACTCAATGGCCGCCTATTGAATGGTAATAATCCGATGCAATCGCTTGATTCGAATTGATTAATACCCTTTTTGTTCTTCTCCACAGCGGCAGATGCACAACTGATGACCCTTTGCGAGCGCATGCGGAACAAGGTGGCCGCCATGGCAGATGGCGCAGAGACCAAGCAGAAGGGAGAGACTTTCACGGCTTCGCCCAGTGTGCAGTTCACGAGCCGGGCGCCCGGCGGCTTCCCCGTATCCGGAGAGACGATGAAGGCCTCGGCGCAGTTCATGTTCAACCCGAACCTCGGGATGCCCAGTATTCCCGTCTGCTTCTACATGACGCCGGCCAACTTCCGCATGCCCATGTGGTCGGCCGCGCCCACATTTATGGGCATGCAGGGAGCCCACTTTGGAGGACCATCCAACAATGGCGGAGGAGGCGGAGGAGTGTTCTTTGTGCCGCAGCAGTTCGGACCGAGCGGCAACTTCTTTGGAGGCAGCGGCGGTTCCGGAGCGGGTGGACAGGGCGCCAACATCTTCTCAAAGAATGCCTCGCCGCAGAAGCTGTCAAATGCCCAGCAGCAGGTCTACTGCAGCTACATGCAGAACCAGTCCGGACAAGGCCAAGGGCAGCAGCAGGGACTCAATCAGCAGCAGGGAGTCGGCCAGTCGACCTTCTCCAATGCCAACTTCAAGATGCGCCACAACGCCAACCAGACGAGCGCCGTCCAACATCAGGGCCAGATCATCTACGCCAGCTATGCGGGACTCCCACAACAGCCAATGGAGCGCTCGCAGTGCCCGGAACCGGATCAGGTGTCCTGCTACGGGGGCCAGGAGTGTATTCCAGCCTCCCATTGGTGCGACAATCGTGTGGACTGCAAGGACGGCAGCGATGAGTCGGCCTGCACCTGTGGCGACCGACTGGACGAGGAGCGTCTGTGCGACGGCTATCAGGACTGCCCCATGGGCGAGGATGAGCTGGGCTGTTTTGGCTGCGAGCCGCTGGCCTTCTCCTGCTACGAGAATCTGGAGGAATATGCGCGCCACAATCGCTCCACGATATCCATGTGCTACAGCCGACTGGAACGCTGCGATGGCTTCCTCAATTGTCTGAATGGTCGCGATGAGCAGCAGTGCAGCATGCTCGTCACAGATGTCACACATCACATGGTAAGTGGAACGAACTATCCTTGCGTGCTACTCCCATCTAATCCGCTCTAATCTTCTCCAGTCACACGCTGCATCCGCCTCTGAGGGATATCTGTATCACAATCATCGCGGGGATTGGCATCCGGTGTGCAACAATGGCGGAAAGTGGGCAAACGCGGCCTGCGAGCAGGATGGAAAGATGGAAGGAGCTGTGCCCGAACTCTTCTTTAAGCCGTTGATACTCCCAGGTCCCTTTATTGAGCCATCGCTGCATGCGGGAATCCACTTTGCCCAGGCCTGCCATGGACGCAACAACGCTGATTCCCTGGTGGATCATGTGGCCTATGTCCAGTGCCCTCCGATGCAGTGTGGACTGCCCAAGAATACGACCAAAACGGAGCACTCGATGCGCCTGAAGCGAGCAGTGGTCGAGGCGAAGGAAACAGTCGGCGAGGGACGCATTGTTGGGGGAGGCTACACGAGTGCCCTTCAGTGGCCCTTTGTGGTGGCCATCTATCGGGATGGGAAGTTCCACTGCGGTGGCACCATCTACTCGGATCGTTGGGTAAGTGGAGTCGAGAATTCCCCTGTTCTAAGTGCCTTAAATCTCCTTTTTTTTACAGATCATTAGTGCCGCCCACTGTGTCATCAATTATGCCAAATACTACTACGAGGTGCGTGCTGGGCTGCTGCGTCGCTCCAGCTACTCCCCTGCCACCCAGATACAGCCAGTGTCGCATGTGGTCGTCCATCAGGCCTACGAGAGGCGGAGCATGCGCAACGATCTGTCGCTGCTGCGACTTGCCAATCCGCTGCACTTCAATCGCTGGGTGAAGGCCATCTGTCTGCCCGACCAGGGAAGGACAACCTTTGGCGACGATTGGATATGGGGTCCCGAGGAGCACACGCTCTGCACGGTGGTGGGATGGGGAGCCATACGGGAGAAGGGTCCGAGCAGTAAGCTACGACGAACTCTGACTTAAAGTTTATTTTAAAATATTCTAAATCTTTGATAGGTGATCCCCTGCGTCAAGTGACTGTGCCCATACGCAAGCGCTGCACGGAGCCAGAAGATCAGGCCTCTGAGGGTATTTGTGCTGGCGATCCTGACGGTGGACGCGATGCCTGCCAGGGCGATTCAGGTGGTCCCCTCTTCTGCCGCAGCGTCACACAGCCGGAGCAGTTCTATCTCGCGGGAGTTGTGAGCCATGGCAACGGCTGTGCTCGTCCCCAGGAGTTTGGCGTCTACACGAGAGTGGCACTATACCTGGACTGGCTTGAGCTGGCGGTGACACCTCGCCTGCTGCCCGCTGCACGCAAACCGCTGCAGCTCTGTCCTGGCTTCATTTGCGTTTGGGGTGGCAAGCGGTGCATAGCCAAGCGACAGCGCTGCGATCGGAATGTCGACTGTCTGGGCGGTGAGGATGAAGTGGGTTGTGTCTATAACTTCATACCCGATATGGTGGGCAGCACACGACAGAATGTAAGCACCACAACCGAGAGTGATTATCATCCACTGAAGGAGCATGAAAAGGATGGCAAACAGCGTCAGGAAATTGCTATAGAAGATGATGATTTGCTGGCAGAACAAGACGAGGATGAAGACTGGCAAAGCACCACTCTCAAAAGTGAAAATGAAATTGATTCCACTCTGTCTGCTGATGTAACGACCACTCCATCAAGGGATATGTCCACAAGAACGGAGACCACAACTGGACTCTCGACAGAAATTGATTCAACGACGACAGCAAAAGCAACTACTGCATGGATGACAATAGAAACGACAACGATGACACCCACAACAATTGCTCAAACTACAACGTTGCCTACGTCAACAGAGGATTTAAGGAAGCTCTCCGATTTGGTCACAGAAATCCTGGAGGAGAGCACGACAATGATGACCAGCACCTTGTCTGCAGTCACAACAGATGCTCCTCCTCCTACTACAAACACAACGGAGGGATCTAAGGAAACCACAACCACAGCAGCCACAACTACAATTAGCAGTAGTTCTACACCCTCAACAACAACAACAAGGCTTACCACAACAACCCCCACAGCAACCACAAACTTGGCGCCAACTACAAGTGCTCCTCCAAAGACAACGACCACAAAAACGGAGATTCCCAATAAATTCGTGTGCAAAAGGTGAGTAAAAAAAAAGACCCAACTCTTGTAAGACAAACTGATTAATCTCAATGAAATTATCTACAGAATGGCTCAGATTGTGGAGCTACAGATGCGCTGTGATCGGAAAGTGGACTGCGAGGATGGCACGGATGAGCTGGAGTGCAGCTGTCGGGACTACATGAAGGGCAGTCTGCGTGCCCTCATATGCGATGGCAAGGCGGATTGCGAGGATCTAACCGATGAACAGGATTGCGGTAAGCACCGAAACCTATTATCATGCTGCTCCTTCTATGATTTGCTTTTCAATCTCAACAGCTGGCTGTCAAGCCAATGAGTTCCGCTGCCCATTGTCCAAGACCTGCCTGCCACTGACGAAGCGCTGCGACAACTCAGTGGACTGCCAGTTCAAGGAGGACGAAAACGATTGCTGTAAGTGAGAGAACGGAATTGTACGACATGAAAGAAGCTCATGTATCCCCTCCAACAGTTGCCCTGACGAATGGCCAAGATGTGCACTTTGATATCCATCAGCAGCCCAAGTTCAGTAGCGCTGGTATCTTCTCCAGAAACGCCCATGGCGTGTGGCGTGTTGTATGCGCCCATGAGACTGGCTACCATGAGAACCAGGCCAACACGGCGGATTCAGTGTGCGCCCTGCTGGGCTTCAAGGGAGCCCACTACTTCAACAGCTCGGAGCTTGTGAGCCAGCGGGATGTGCATCCCATTACACCAGAGCTGACGGGAAAGACTCAGCTGGTTGTGGGGCTCCGTTCAATGGACAATGACAACGACCAGCTATCGGACAACGAGGAGGCAATGCCTGTACAGGGCTTGCCATCGCCCTCGAGACCGGAAAAGGACCGCCTGCTGCCCAGCATGTGTCTGGGCATCTATGTGGAGTGTAATCCCCTCTCCAACCAGACTACGCCCCTGAAGACGCTGAGTGCGGGACAGGCGGTCAAGCAAAAGCCTGCGGAAGAGATACCTGTACTCCTGCCCACCATCGAGACATACAACCAACCCAATGTCCACTTCAAGCCGCAAGTGCCTGCAACAATGGTGGTCAAAAAGAAGGACGAAATCCTCGACCGTTTGGATAACCTAATCAAGAGCAAGAAAAACAAGACGCTGCTGGTGAACGAGCAGCTGCACGAAGCCATCGAGGAGCTGCACTGGCCCTGGCTGGCCGATGTCTATGCCAATGGGGAGCTCTGGTGCCTCGGTGTGCTTATCGACAAGCACTGGCTGCTGGTCCACGAGAGCTGCCTCTCGGGAATAAGGTAAGCAAACGCTTTCGATTATTGTACTTATTTTTTATTCATCTGTACATTCCTTCTAGCCTCGAGACGCACTACATTAGCGCACTTCTGGGCGGTGGCAAAACCAAGCGGTCCCTCCACAGAAGCAATCACGAGCAAATCCGTCGCGTGGACTGCTTTGAGGCAGTGCCCAAGTCCAATGTGCTGCTGTTTCATTTGGAGAAACCTGCACGCTTTACCCATCATGTGCTGCCCACCTTCCTGCCCCACAGGTGAGTGGGTCAATAGCAATCTAGGGACTGGTTCTAATCGGTTTTTTCCATTGCAGCACTCACCATAATGACAGTGCTGTGCGGGATTGCATCAGCGTCCTGCACGACGAGAATACCGGGCGAATTAAAACGGTTGCCATCACACAGATCATGAATGACCCAAAGTGTCCATCGTGCTATAAGTTGCAGGAGAAGCAGCCGCCTGTGAACCTCATGCGCTTGCTGAATGTCAGCGCCGAGGATATGGCCTCCATTTCCGAAGAGGTTGAGCTCATCAATGGTGCGACCGCAACAGACCTCCCAGCCCTCACAAAGTTCACCAGTTGTCATCAGTTTGGCCTGAAAAACCTCAGCGACGCGCACCACAATCCCATCGACCAGGGAGTCCTGGTCTGTCGCAACTCGCACACGGGCTGGTTCCCCACGGCTCTGTTCAGCTACAACAACTCCGATTGCCAGAGCTTCAAACAACCATTCGGCATTGGGATATTGGATCGGGCCTACAAATCACTGCAGGACATCATAGGTAGGCGGTGCTATTTGCGGACCTCCGAAAGAACGGAAAACTAATTAACTTGTCTCTTTTCCCCCAACAAAAACAGATGAGCCCAACTGCAAAAATCCACAATCACCGCCAGAGTGCATCACTCATCGCTGTCCGCTGGGTGTTTGCCTGCCCCAATCGGCGATTTGCAATGAAAGATCCGATTGTCATGACGGAAGCGATGAGGACGAGGCCAAATGTCGACAGCTGAAGCAGAGATGTGCGCCGGGAGAGATGAAGTGCCGCTCCAGTTTCAAGTGTTTGCCAAAGGAGAAGTTTTGTGATCATGTGCCGGACTGTCAGGACATGACAGATGAGCCGACCATTTGCAGTTGCTTTACCTATCTACAGTGAGCTCTAACTATATAAGCATCACAATGGTTACTGTTATATGTTTTGCTTTTTATCTGTAGAGCCACGGATCCCTCCAAGATATGCGATGGCAAGCGAAACTGTTGGGACAAAAGCGATGAGAGTTCTGTGCTGTGCAATTGCACCTCCGATCATTTTCAATGCAGTTCGTGAGTGAAACCATTGATATTACTTTATTGGAAGACAAGATTTTAATCGATTGTATTTCTAGCTCCCCTGAAGATTGCATACCACGCGATTTTGTGTGCGACAAAGAACCGGACTGCCCCAATGGCGAGGATGAGCGGTACTGCTTTGGCATAGAGCATCCATTGCACCAGCGAAAAAAGGATTTCTGGGCCCACAGCCAATACAAGTATGTATCCATCGAAATACAATACAAGTCAAATCCATATTAATCGAACTCCCGTTTCCAGCACAAAGGAGATTGCCCCGAAGTATGGCCAAGTGATTGAGCAAACCTATGGCATATGGCACACCAAGTGCTTCCCAAAGAGCGCGCCGCCCAACATGGATGAAGTGCGAGAGATATGCAAGAAGCTGGGCTACAATCCGTACAGGCAGCCCAGCTATCGGCTGATCGATGATGAGGAGAACAAGGCCGTTCAAACGTATGAGCTGTTGGACCAGCGAGGACGCAGCTTCAGCAATGAGTCGCTGGTGGGCCAATACCGCGACTCCACCAAGGCGGTGATTGTCAGTAAATTCTCGCCGCTGCAGCTGAACGAACGGCTGACTTTGTTCCTCAAGTCTAGCAGGCCCATTGCGGAGCTGGTGCGGTGGAATGCCACCGACTCGGATCGCTGCTACAGGCTGGAGATACGCTGTGCCTGAAGTGTCAGTCCCTAAACTGCCTCTCTGTCAAGTGCCTTTCTCTAAGCTCTCGCGATAATCCTTTGTGCGTTTTAGTAGCAAATAAATGCGAGAGAAATCTATAAATTTTGAACTTTCTTTTATTTTTTACATATTTTATTATTTAGCATATGTCGATTGGAGAAAATATCCTTGATGTCATTCAAGGATAAGGATATTTTTCAGCTCCCAGAACGCCGAGCGGAGAAAATTAAAAAATTTTTTACTGGGGAAGGATATTGATCCTTTAAAAGGACTCTATCAAATGAAGGATACTTTTCCGATTACGTCCCCTTTGTATTGTTGCACAGTGGCGCCCCATACAGATCACCGGTGATTTCATGAACTAAAACAGAGTAGTTCGAGAAATGACCGCTCATTGTAGGGGCGCCACAGTTGTAGTTTTTGTTTTGCACTGTGGCGCCCCTTGCGATCACCGGCCATTACTGGAACTAAATTACATTAGTTCGAGAAATGACCGCTCATTTAAGAGGCGCCACAGTTGTAGTTTTTGTTTTGCACTGTGGCGCCGCTGCGATCACCGGCCACTAGTGGAACTAAATTACATTAGTTCGAGAAATGACCGCTCATTGTTGCGGCGCCACAGTTGTAGTTTTTGTTTAGCACTGTGGCGCCGCTGCGATCACCGGCCACTAGTGGAACTAAATTACATTAGTTCAAGTAATGACCGCTCATTGAAGAGGCGCCACAGTTGTAGTTTTTGTTTTGCACTGTGGCGCCGTTGTGTTCACCGGCCATTACTGAAACTAAATTACATTAGTTCGAGAAATGACTGCTGATTGTTGTGGCGCTATTGTGCTTTTAATTTAAATTAAATTAAATTAAATTTTTAATTAAATCGCTACAATTCCTCCATTTCTCATACGATCAGGACGTGATACGTCTCCTCGTAATCGCCAGAGTGTCCGCCATCGTTTGGACCTACAGGGACATCAAGGACAATAAGGATATGATTTTTTAACGCTATTTCCTAATCTATTTTAAGTAAAATCGCTATTACTCTGCCATTTCCTGCCCGAAATGAACGTGCCACGCCTTCTCGTGATCGACAGAATATTCCCTATCGCCTAGAGGCATCAGGGGCAATACGCCTGTTCAACGTTTCATGGTTATAGCTCCGCTATTTCTCCTCCGATTCGGCGTGCCACACGTTTTTCTGATTGGGGGAAAATTTAATCACTGTATCCAATGAGTTGGTGTCGATCGATCGGGCACCGCTCGATCCTGGAAAAGTAGGTTCTCCGCCAATCTGGGCCCATTCGGTCGAGAAATGGCGCAGCAAACTTTTGCTGTGCTAATAATTACTTTTTTTTTCTGTACGCTATATCTCGACTATTTATGGACGTCGCATGTCATATAGTACAAACTATAAATAAATAAAATAAAATGAATGAATGCGGGGGATTTAATTTAATTTATAACTTTTTTTATTATTTTAATTTTGTATTATTTTCTTTATCAGTTTGCGCTTGCATATGTTGTATAACTTTTACTTTATTTGATTTTACGTTTAAGCTTGGGTTTCTTGGGAATTTTCGTAACGAATTTTGGTTGTTTTATAAATGTAAAAAATTAATTTTGTTGTTTAGACAAAATTCAAACAATTTAATTACTTAAAGCACTTAATTAAATGTTGTATTCCATTTAAATTCGTTAAAAAGATGTAAGTTAAGGTTAGTTTTTCTTTTGTTTCGTTTTTGTTTTATGAAAGAAGGTACTTGAGAATTATAAATATATGAATGCACCTCTCGAGAGCAGGAATTTAGGAATTCCCTATCTATCAGGGCGCATCGTTGGTAATTATATAATTTGTTATGCGTATAAATAGCAAGGGTTTAAAAAACTTGAACGAGCATTAAAGGGGGGGTATATGGGGAATAACTAGTTGTTAAATTTCTTCATAAGTCTTTGGCGCTGATTAGGAATAAGATATAGTATGTATAGGAGATACTCGTACCCGTGTAGGAGGTAATTCATGTGTATAATTCATTAGATACTCGTAGAATAAACATAAAAATTATTTGGGACTTGGATTAGGCAAAAATACATACTTTCAAAGTTAGTTTCGGGTTAGGATTTTTGATTAAAGTTAATGTTCGATTTTGTACAGTAAATAAACATCTCGACTCCACCTTTATAATTTGAAATTGAATCACAAATGTCGTTAAAGTATTTATAGGCATAGATAGTGCTTCTTAGGCTTAAGTTAATCTTTCCAAATTTTTGGTTAGTATTTATTTAGTGTGTGTGCGACTTAGTATATGCATCCCGCGGGTCGTGTGTTTGTGTGTATGTGGAGTGCATTGAAAAGCGATGCAGGTGTATAGATTGTTGTCTCAGTAATTTTTCAGAGAGTATGTTGTAGAGTATACAGATTGGTTTCTAGGATTCCTGGGGGTGTGTACCTACATATCGTATATAGCACAGGCAAACAGTTCTCAAACACAACCTTTTGGCAATTTCTAAGTTTAAAAAAGTATCTCCTCCGTATCTAGAGTCTAGAGTCTGATTAGAGTTGTGAATAAAGCGTAAGTAAGTTATGGGTAAAAGTTAATGCCTCTCACTAAACTAATATTTAGCTAAATTTTGTCTCGTTTTTTGGGGCGACTCCTCCTTACATATCGTTTACGTTGTCATGAAACACAGCAGTTTATAATATTTACATGTCTAATCGTATCTACTAAATTACGTTTAGGATTTCTTTAACTTGTACTAACTAACTACGATCCTCTCTGTTGCTAAAATCTTAATGGAATAGTTGGTGCGTTTTTATGTACAAATTGTTGTTCTCGTTCTCTAGTTGTTCACGGTAGTTAGTATATGTATAGTATATGTACTATATGTATATGCTAGATTAAAGCTTATGAAGAGTTAGTAGAGTTCACTGGATGAGTTTTCATGAGTTTTCACTGATAGATTGGACCACAGTATGTAGATATCTGTGTGTGTATGTAGTATCTCTGTATGGTTTGATAACTATCGCTGTAAATTTTTGTAAATGGATTCCTAAATGGTCGAAATTCTTAGCGGCATTCCGTATCGTATCATTTCCCCCAAAGTTCTGCAATCCATTACGAATGAAGTTTGGACTAAAATATGCTTTACATTCTACTGTTGTATCCCCTAACTGGTACGCAATCTCTAATGTGGATGTCTTTTAGTTTGGCAATCACTGTTTTTGCTAATTAAAAAATAAATAAAAACTCAATATAGACATAATAGTCAATAAATAAATCATATATTTTACTAGAACTTTGCACACACATTCAAAAGATAGTAGATAGAGGGTAGCCTTGGGCATTCAACAAATCTCTCTCTCTCTCTCTTGCAATAAATAACTAAAGATTAAACATAAAGAAATAAGCTCATTAACTGGGCCTGCGTCAGACATTTTTAAGTATGCGTTCACTTGTGCGTTGCGTTGCTTTCTTTTAGCTTACGCTAATTAATCATAAACATGAAAAACTAAAACATTTTAGTTAACATAAAGAATAGGGAAACTCGCTAAGAGTTTACGCGACACCTGCTGAATGCTGGGAGGTTGGGGACATAACATTTCAATCACCTGAACATTTTCTATATATGTGTTGGGGGGGTTGGGGGGAGGGACTTTTTATTTTTTTCATTTAAAAATTAGTTTGAGTTTCTTTTCCTTTCTTTTTTGGTCTTCTCTTGCAGCTGATTGCCACAAAGTCTAGCCATGTGCTTAGTTACTTTTACGCTCCCTGGTCTCGTCCTGCGGCTGCTCCTGAGTCGGAGGCGTGTTTTCCTGGGTGCGCACCAGATGCGACGGCAGTTGCATGTTCAGCGGATCATTGATCCTTCTCAGATTGTACTCCAGTTCCGCCGTCTTGCGCTTCAGCTGATTGTAGTGCTCCACATCGAATTGCATCTTCTTGGCATTCTTGTAGATGGTCAGCGAGTATTCGCGGTTTTTCACAGCCTCCATCATGTACTCCTAGGGAGACACAACATTGTATGCGACATCCGCCCATCCGCCTAGCCACTACTTACCCTCTTGGTCACACAATAGTAGGCGTACATGGCCATTGTCGTGCCGTAGGTAACGAAATATGTAACCGGCTCCATGATATCCCAAGAGTACTCCCACCAGGTCAATCGGGCCAAAATGCCAAACTGCACGGACATCAGGCCGAGACCCATCCAAGTCATAAAGTTGGTGCGACGAGCGGCCTTTTTGCTTAGCTCCAGTTTTTTCTGCAAGTGCCAATATTCGCATGTATGTAGAACCACTATGTATATTTGTATGTATATCTAAGATATTATCACACCTCTTCCAGTGGCTCCAGTTCGTAGCGTATGTTCTCCAGTTCCTTGGCCAGTTGATTGCTCTTCTCCAGCTGATATTCGCCCACGTGAAATGCCTCATAGAGCTGCAGAGAGTTATGGACACACATTAAAAAGGTAGCCACTTAATGTGGAATATTCACACAAGATAATCTTACCTGAGCAATAACCTTACGCACATCGCCCACCTTGTCCATGGACTCCAGTGTGATCTTGTCACGCTTCGGTGGACTCAGTTCCAATGTGCGATTGTTGATTTGTATGCTATGGAGATATAGGGAGATGGATGAGCTATGGGATTTGTCTCAGAGATCATCAGCAGCAGCAGCAGCCGCAGCCCACCTAAATGTATCATCCAGCAGGCTGTCGATGGTGCAGGAGGAGGCAATGCGCACTCCATGCTTATTGATCACCGCCGCCCGATCTATGCCCCGATCCTCTTCCTTCAGCATCGATAGGAGATCCCCAACATTATGCGAGATCGGTTTCAGTGCAAACTGACATAATTCATTGCGACTTGGCAGGCGAACGGTCATGTGCGGCATACCATTCACATATTCCACAAAGATGTCATCTAAAATGAGAGATTTTCCGATTAGTTGGAGTTGTAGAGGCAGAGGTAGAGGAATTATACATTGATTCAACTTCACAGCGGTTTCTATAATGTGGAACACAGTTGTCTGCTTTAGCTTTAATTAATCAAAAGGCACTCAAGGTTATTTGCTCATAGAGGGAACTGCTGCCGCT